GCGCTCAGGAAGGCTGGCCTTGTCGAATCCTGACAGGTTGGCGATCTGAATTTTCAACCATTTGAGACCCTGCGGGCCGAGCGGCTTAGCTTCACTGAAAAGCAGCAAGCCTCTGGCATTGTCGGCGCCCATCTGGTTGAGGTAAGGCGGCAGAGGGTACGCACGGCCACGGAAATCGATATTGTGAGGGAGGTAGAATGTTTCGTCGAGGTAAGCGCGGGCGATTTCCATCTGGAAGTTCTGGAAGCAACGCTGAGAATGGATACCGGATTTGCGATTCTCCATGAGTTGGACAAGCCGATCCCACTTCTTTTCAGCCTCATAACCTTCTTCCGCAGACGGCCTTTCGGGAGGGGTCAAGTTTGGCTCCAGGGCAGCGAGATTCGCTAGGGCTTCGCCGGAGTTCCACGCTTCAAGCATGACATCAAAAACTTCCCGGTTGATAACCCAGCCTGTAGACCCTAGGATATCTAGACTTTGCCGAATCTTTTCAAGCCCATTGCTCTTGATCGCAGCCTTTACATAGGCCTGTTGAAGACCCTCGCCCGGTGTCGAACGAATCAGCTCACTCTTGTACACATAATAGGCGCCATCATCCAAGCCCTTCCAAGGCTTGGGCTCGCAAACCATCGGCAGGTGGCGGCTCAGGACGTCGGCGGGAGGCTCCCTGAGCAAGATTTCGACGACGGACGGATGTAGATGGATATAGCCAGCGCGTTTGCCCCAAGTGATCTGGTAATTATGCTGGAATGCAGGTTGCATGGTGATTTCCTTCTTCTGGGTCTCAGGATTGATGACCTCCACTGGGGCCTTGGCAGCGTCGAAGAGAAAGCCCAACAAAGTGGCGCCGACCTTGGCTTTCACTCGAGGCGACCAAGAGATAGACGGGTCCTCTTCCTCAATCTTGCGCGAAAGGTGATACCAGCGCGCTCGGCCATCCTTCTGCTTGCGAATCGCAAGCGCCTGTCTGACATTGCTGAGGCCTTGAGAAGACTGCTTCTCCTTTTGTTGTTGTAAAGTTCTTTCTGCCAAGATCTCATCGTGGTATTCCGAGCCGATACCGTAAGCAAGTCCGGCCAACTTCGTCCCTTGGTCCACTCCCAGGCGGCTGAAGGTGGATATGACACTCAGGATCGTGATTGCTGCAATGCGATCCGCCTTCAAAGCACTTAGATAAACACCATACTCTAACAAATCAAGTTCCGCTGCGTTGATAGACGCCCCAGGCTTGGCAGATAGCTTGCTGAAAGACTCGATCTCTTCTTCGATTTTTGATTCCAGCCCAGTGAGCCATTGGTCGATGATCGGTCCTAAGCGCTTCTCGGCACCATCAAATCCACGCTTTCTCCTTGTGTCACTCTCGGCGCGCCAACGGTTTAGCGCAGACTGGATGGCATCTTTTTCAAGCTGGCGCTGCCGGGCCTCCCTATGCTGACGCATCTGGTCCTCCACGGTGCCTTCCTCGTGAAGAGGCATTGAAACTCTGGAGGGGTCGGAGAAGAGTTCGAGTGATTCCTGAAGCGAAGAAAGACCGAGACCTTTCTGTTTGACAGCCTTGACCTCCACAGCCTGAGACTCGGCGACCGAGGCATCATCGCCGGTTATGTTAGAATTGAAGTTACCCATGGCCACACGTTGCACGTCGTCAGAACAGATCTACACGAATAAGACGATTAGCATGTCTTCATTGATAGCGAGAACGAAGGGCAGTGAGGAAAAAAATGATATGAAGGGAGGGGACTGACCTGCGACAGCTCGCCCAAATCCGATTCCGAAAAGATAGAGTCCGCAAGAACTCGTTCCTCCAAAGATTTGCTCTTGGCCAATTCCCAGTACCTGCGCACGGTTCTGTCGCGCTTTGAGCCGTGAAACATGCGGAGAGCCATCCGAATCATGACCGCGAAAGTTGTAGCATTGGGCTCGAGACCATGTGTCCCAAGTTCCACTTCGAAAAATCTTTGGCAGGCAGGGACCAGTTCATGCTGCCGGGTCACGGACATGTGCGAGACGATCTCGTTCAGGTGGCGGTTGCACAATGCAAGGTACTCAGGTGATCCGGGAGGGTAACAGTCCTTTAAGCGACTGATCAGTGTAGCAGATCTCTCATACTGGTGGATGCGAAGAGACACATCAAGGTTGGCAAGCATTTCATCCGCGTCACCGCCCAGGCCCTTCACTTTCCGTTGCACCTTGGGCCTGGTTTGCGCAGCCTCGTTCACAATAATCAAAGAAGAACTAGAGAGCCCCTGGGGATGTGGTCTGAAAAAGGGAGACAGCCTCTGATCGAAGAAGCTGTCGCCAGGGAAGGAAGACTCCTCGGAGGAGGCAGTGTCGAAAGGGATATATGAGCCTGACCCCTGACTGAGCGCGGACTGGTCTGCGGCGGTGGCAAGGTTTCGATTTGAGGTCAGGGAAGGTCGGCGAGAACGGTCTTGTGTGATTGTTGTAGACGAAGTGTTTGTGAAAGAGGCTGGTCGAGTTGACTGCGAATGGAGCCTCAATGTTGCCGGTGATGGCAAGGCCGAGCGGCCTGTAACTCGCACGCGAGCCAAAGCATTTTTCCGGAGAGCGACGCGGGACAACATGATAGAAGAAATGTCGCTAGTAAAGATATAAAAACAAGGCTTATGCAAGTCGACAGTGATTAATCGTGAGGTAATAGGATATTATGTATGGAAGAAGAGGGTAAAGCCCAACGCGATGGCGAAGGCACGGAGAAAGACAGTGTCAACGAGGATGATGCAGGATGGGGATTGGAGTGATCAAGAGCGAGCTTATTGCCAGGCAATAAACTTCAATTCATCAATTCCAATCGATAGCCGCACTGCAGCCCTCCGAAGACGTAAAGGAGAAAAAGAATGAGAGATAAGGGGGAAGAAGGAAGAGAGGATAACAATCGTGAAGGCAAATTGGAGAGAGAAAAAAAACCCAATCTACTTTTCTTCTCAAAAGGACGGGAGGAAAAATAAGTAATTGTTTCTAGCAGCAGCAGAACTTCGGGCCGGGAGAGGCGATAGCACTGCACATGACTGCACGTGACCTTCTGGAAGCGCGATAAGATTTTCGCTGTCCGGAGACTTGATTGGCCAGGACCATCTCTAGTCGAGATTCCTCGAGTTTCGGCGGAGGCAAGAGAAATCCATGATTGCTCCACATGAGTGTGCTCACGGAGTCAAGCCTACTGCGGGTATCCAGCTGGAACATCTCAATGACAATTTTATACAATTGAATTGATTTTCGCCGTGCCTGGTGCTCATCATTCCTCAAACAAGTAGGTCCCGTATCTCTAAGTTACTCCGTACAGTGATATCTCCGTACTAGCAAAAAATAATGCAAGTCATTGCCCTGTCGTAACCCATCTGTAAACTAACGTGCCTATCCATGATACCTCTCTATACCTACTGCTGCCCACCGTCCCCAGCAGCCCCCTCCCGGGGCAGTGCCTCCTCGCGCTGCTTCTTGCGGTTCTGCTTCATCGCCCAACCCGTCAACTCCGGCCGAGCAGGGTCAATCCGGGGCGCGCTCATCTTATCCAGATACTCCTCGGACTCGATCGCCGACTGCAGCTGCGGCAGAGTCTCGACATCCTGATGCATCATGTAGTTCTCGTATAGTTGCCACGATTCCTCGGTCTGTTTTCAACCAGAAAGAACATCAGCATGCTGTCCTGTCTTGTTCTGTCCCGTCCCTTTCCTACGGAATCTTCTTCCTCTTCTTCTTGAGACGCAAAAAAGAAAAAAAAAACTTACCTCAGCATCCACCCACTCATAATCCCTCCACTTCTCATCCTGCATCTGCTTCAAGAGGTCCAGGTTGCCCGCAACCGTAGCCGCTTCCCCATCCTCCCCGGCCGCCTTAATCTTAACATCGATGGCGCGGGCCTCACTCTCGCCCGCCGGCCCCGCCCGCTCCTCCTCCCCATCCTTGCCGCGACCCTTGCCCTTCCCCTTGGCCGGGATCTCATCCAAGGCATCGAGATGATGCAATTGGGGGTGCAACTGCACCACCGCGGTAACCGGCGACAGATGAAGATTTTCTAGAGCGAATTAGCCTCACCCTTGGACCTCCCCGAAACCCCGGGACGGAACCAGCCAGGAAAAGAAAAAAACTCACCCCCGCGAAACGCCCCCAACATATAAACCGGATCCCCGCCCTCAAACCCTTTAATCCGCCCACCCAGCGTCTGCACCCGCAACAACTGCGCCGTCTCCTTCCCCTCGTCGACCTGCATCGGACCGGCACCGGCACCGGCACCTTCCATCTTGACTTTCCCACCAGCACCAGAACCACCACCACTGCTCCCCCCAGTACTGAACCCCCCGGCCATCCCGTAGGCGCCCCCCTCCCTGGCGCGCTGGGATCTCTTCAGCGCATCGCCGTAGCGCAACCCCTTGCTGACGTCGTAGTTCACGCGGGTGTTGATGGGCACGTCGACCTCGACGAGGCCCGTCGAGGGCTTCAGCCGGAAGCCCGTGGGTTTCTGGCCGTGGCGGTCGTCGTAGCTGTACCCCGTCGGGCGGTCGAGGTACTGCAGCACGTAGCGCGAGATCTCCGAGTCCGTGAGGTAGATGTTGTAGGAGGCGATGATGGGGTCGTCGTCTTGGGTGTTGGGGGTGGTCATCGTTCCGGTTTTCTCGGTTCGAATGGGGAAAGAGGGAAAGGAAAGGTCGATTGAAATTGTCAGTTGTGATTAACGCGCTGTGTTAGAATTAATCGTGGAAGTGACAGCGGGGAAGTGGATGATGTGATGTGCCTCTTTTTTTTTCCGCAACCGCCTTTTTTTTATCGGAGGCGGAGGTTGATAAGACTCATTCTACAAATGGAAGGCGGTATTAACTGCCCGCCGCGGGGACAGTGTCGGTACGGAGTGAGCACCTAGTCTGCGGCGGCAACCGGTTTGCGGCAGTGAACTAGGAGATTAACCACATGGTGCTCATCCGCTTCAATGCTGACTACAATTTTGTTAAGCTACAGGAGCAAGGGAAAAAAAAATGAGAACTCAAGATAGTTGTATAGAAACAATTAGTCATCAGAAGTATGTACAAAGAGCTAGCTGTATCATCATCCAAGATCATAAACAGTTCGTTCAAATAGATATTTTTCTCAATGATGCAAGGAGAACAATGCGAAACAATATATCTTGATCGCTATATCTCATCGACGAGCATCTTACTCTTCATCTTCCTCAGCAACCTGAAAAGATGTTGTTAGCGAAGTACTTCAATATAATAGAAGATCAACTTACTCCTTCGTGGAAGTTCTGTCCGTCAGTCGTCGCCTTGATCACACCAGCACGGATACACCAATCTCCGAACCTCTCCGGCACCTCGCCGTCGGTGTTGCGCTCGGCAGCGTAGCGCTTGAGGAGACCCTTCATGATGTCCAGGATCTCGTCCTCCTTGATCGAGGAGCGGTACAGCTTGTTCAGACGCTGGCCGTGGTAGCCACCACCCAGGTACATGTTGTAAGCGCCGTACGCCTTACCGACGAACGCAACCTCAGCAAGCCAGGGTCTGGCACAACCGTTGGGACAACCAGTCATGCGCATGACAATGCTGTCCTGAGCGAGACCGACCTCCTCCAAAGTGGACTCCAGCTTGCCAATGAGAACGGGCAGATAGCGCTCAGACTCGGCCATAGCAAGACCACAGGTGGGGAAGGCAACACAAGCAGACGAAGACAGACGAAGGCCGCTGAAGGCAGTGTTGTCAAGCTTGTACTTGGCCATCAACTCCTTGACCTCGGGCAGATCCTCATCCTTGATGTTGGAGATGATGACGTGCTGGTTACCGGTAAGACGGAACTCACCCTTGTCAAGCTTGGCGAGCTCGCGCAGACCGGTACGCATCTTGAAATCGGCGGTATCCTCGATACGACCGTTCTCGATGAAGCAAGTGAAGTGGTTCAGACCCTTCTCATCCTTGAGCCAGCCGAAGGTGTCGACGTTAGAGTCGAACTTGAAGGGACGAGGCTCAGCGAAACGCAGACCCTCCGGAAGAAGAGCCTCTACCTTCTCCTTGTAAGCCTCAACGCCCATGTCGTCAATGGTGTACTTGAGACGAGCGTGCTTGCGGTTTTTGCGGTCTCCGTGGTCACGCTGAACAAGCATGATCTTCTCACAGACAATATGGGCCTGATCCGCAGGGACGTAACCGAACATACGTCCAGTCTGGGGGTAGGTCTTCTTGTTGTTGTGAGTGGTACCCATACCACCACCAGCAATGATGTTGAAACCCTCCAGGTGTCCATCAGTGCCCTTGATGGCAATCAAACCAATGTCGTGGGCGTAGACATCGGTGTCGTTGTGAGGAGGAATGGCAATCGTGATCTTAAACTTGCGAGGAAGGTAGGTAGGACCGTACAAGGGTTCGTGGTCGACGACAGCATCACCAGCAACCTGGACCTTCTTGTCATCATCATCCTTGAGCCAGATCTCGTGATAGGCAGAGGTGGCGGGGAGAAGGTGGTCGCTGATTCTCTGGGAGACGGCATGGGCTTCGCGGTGGAAAGTGGAAAGCTCAGGGAGTGAACTGCACATGACGTTACGGTTGACATCACCGCAAGCAGCGATGGTAGTCATGAGAGACTTGTTGATGGCACGCATAGCGCCACGAAGGTTGCGCTTGATGACACCGTGGAACTGGAAGGTCTGTCTGGTAGTGAGCTTCATGGTCTCGTTACCGTGGGAGCTGCTGATAGCATCCATCTGCAGCCACTGCCAAGGAGTGGCGATACCACTCGGCAGACGACAACGGATCATGAAGCTGTAAGCAGGCTCAAGGCCCTGGGCCTTGCGCTCGTCACGAACATCACGGTCGTCCTGCATGTAGGTTCCGTGGAACTTGGTGAGCTGCTGATCACTGGCCGAGATGGCACCAGTGCTCTCGTCCAGAAGACCCTCGGCAATGGTACCACGCAGGAAGTTCGATTGAATCTTGATATCTTCGTTGGTCAACGGAGCAGGCTCCTCCGGAAGACCCTCAACCTTGTCAACGCCAAGAGCCTGCCAGAGACGAGGTTCCCATTCAGAGTAGCCAGTCTGATAAGCATCGGGATCCTGGTCGTCACCCAGACCAATATCGGTAAGCTTGCGGCCGCCCAGGAAGGCGACGCGAGCATCGAGATCCTTGGCAGGCTTGTTGTAGTAGATTTTATCTTCCTTGCGGGGCCAGTAGTGGCTGTCACCGAGACCGAAGACGGAGTAGTTGATGGAGGAAAGATCCAAGTCGCCAGAGTTCTTCACAAATTCCCAGAGACCACGGCCGTTCTGAGGGAACTCTCCCTGACCAGCAGTGCTGGAGATGAAGACCACGTTCTCCTCAGTGGCGAGGTCTTCGGTGGGGTAGTCATCCATAGCCAGAACAAGGGTCTTAAGGCCTCTAGCGCGACCACGGTTACCAAGGCGCTTGGCAATGTTCTGTGCATTACCACCATCTGAGGCGAAAAGAATGGTCAGAGGAGCACCGAAGAGACCCTCGAGCAGCTTCTCGTAAGAGTCCTTGGCCTGGCGCTTCTGCAAGGCACGGACTTCGGTACCATACGACTCGGCAAGGACAGAGGAGAATTTGGGTTGACGGTTTGTGAGCTGCGTAAGCTGGTTGTCACGGCGCAGGAACTCCTCAAGTTCACGTCTGATACGGTCAGAGTCCAGGATAAACTTGGCCTCACCCTTCTCCTCGTTGGCGGGGTTCCAGCGGTACAGGGGCCAGTATCCAAGGTCAACAGCCTTCTTGGTCTCCTGAAGAACAGTCAAAGCGGAGTCATTCTCTTGGTTGTAAGGCAAGTAGGCGACGATGACGGAGGGACCCTCGAACTTCTCGGCCTCGGCCATAGCCTGGAGCACTTGAGTGTAGGAGCCGTACACAGCGACGGAAGCGACGTAGGCGTTGCCATAGTTCATGGCATACAGACCGATATCCTTCTTTCTGCGGGTAGGATCAGCTGCGGTGCGCTCAGAGTAAGGCTGAGAGTCAATGATAAGCATGTTAACATTGGCCCCGGAGGCGAGAACGTGGTGAACACCAGAGTTTCCGAGATCGTAAGCCCAGGCGTCAGAGCCAATCAGCCACAGAGACTCGTCGTAGAAGAGCTTCTTGGAAGCCAGAAGCTGTCTAGCGAGCTGGGAGCCGTCGTTGGACAAGCGCGCGATCACATCAGGAGCCAGCTTGTTGGCCTTGGAGGCATCAGAAGCGCTCAGAGCCCACTTGGACAGCCAAGAGCGGGGAACATCAGTGGCGAAAGTGGAGGCCTTCGAAGCCTCTTCAACCTCGCGGATGAAACGCTTGCGGTGCTCCAGACGGGCAATCAAGGCACCAAATCCGTATTCGGGGCTAGCAGCAATAGTGGCGGAGATACCAGCGTTCTTGGAGCCCAGCTGGTTGGCGACGTGAAGGCGCTCACCGAAAAGCTGGTTCAGGATCTTGATGTAGGCATTCTCGATGTGGGGCTGCTCGAGGGAGCTCTGGAGAGTAGGGACCTTGGAGCTTCCGATTTCCAAGTTCTGGATGGGAGAGGGGGAGTTCAAGTTCTGAACGATGCCACGCAGAGCCTGTACCGCAGTCGAGGGCTCAACATAGCCAAGTCTGTAACCAACGATCTGGGGGGTAGGCCGACCGGCAGAGGAAGGAGAGAGGCTGGAGAGGAGATCCATGAACGAGGGACCCCACTTGGTGGTCTTACGGACCTGCTCCAGGACGGCAATCTTCTCCACAGAGCTGGGAATAGAGTTGATGATCTGACCACCAACCCAGGGGCGGTACAGGCGGGCAGTGATGAGTCCCACACTGCTCAGCTCACCAATCTCCTCCTTGCCCAGGACATCCACAAACACACCAGTTGAGCCGAACACAAAGATAGCCGACTTGGCATCAGAGGGGCCCGTGTACTCGATAGCGCGGTAGTTGCGTCCCACAGCCTCGGAAAGACTCTTCCAGATCTGAGAAGTCCACTCAAAGACATCAGCAGCGCTGACGGGGCGAACCGACGAAGCATCAACCGTAGTGGCAGCAGAGCTCGATCCGCGGCTATCGGTGCTGCTGTCCCGGCGAGAGGAGCCAACAGAGGAGGTATCGATGCTAACGCTGGCAGAGAGCTGCGAGGCTTGAGCAGGGGTGGAAGTGCCCCCAGTCTGCTGATTGGTGCTCTCAGCGGCATCCTCCGAAACGGTGGCGACGCGGCCTGAATCAGTGTACAGAGTCTGGACACCCGAACCTGCAGTATGGGTGGCGGCGTCTGGGCCCAGGTTCAATAGAGACCGTACGAGGTCTGCATTCTCTTCTGTGATAGCATCATCGCGGGCAGAGTTGGCAGGGTCAAAGAAATGAATGACACCCTTGCCAGACTTGCGGGCCAAGGCATGTGCGGTGATAGCGATGTCCTGGGCCTCCTGAAGAGTCTCCGAGTGCAGGAAAGTGAACCCACACTGCCGGATAGAGCTGATTACGGAGTAGTCTGGGAAAGGATAGGGCTCCAGAGCGACATGGAGGACAATCGGGTTGTTTGCCAAACGGTAAAGGTGAGGAATTGAGGAAAGTAGTGCAGAAGAGCTGGTGACCACGGACACAGCATCGCCAGTCTGCAGAGGGTGAAAAGCGGAGAGAAGAGGATCCTCATTGTATCGCACGGCCACAATCTACTTGGTCATTAGCTGCCCATCTCATCCAAATTCATTCACATGGAGGTAAAGACGTACCTCTGGGGTGCTTCTGGGCAAGACGCTGGAAGTGTTCTTCGTCTTAAGGGTCTTCAAAGTCTTGGAGAACAAGGAATCTGCCTGCAGAGAGGGTTGCACGGAGAGAACGACATCGCTGGTAAGGTAGGCGATTCTCGCCACTGAATAGCGCATACAGTTAGCCCATTAGGCCCATTACAGAGGCAGCGCTGAAATATCTCCCAATCATGTATAGCAGAGAAAGACTCGAGTTGACGCAACATACCTGCTTCTCCAGCGGTCGAAATGGAGGCCATGTTGACAATGGCTTGCTACGCAACTGAATGCGCAGGAGGTGGGGGAAAGGAGGGGAGTCGGGAGATCGAGGAATTGGATATCACCGCATACGGTGATTCCCCACTCAAATCAGAGACAATGCAGAGGTATGGGGGGAGGGGGAAAGAGAGCGGAGGTGAGGGGGAAAGAGAAAGGGAAAAAAAGAGGATGTACAGCAGAAAGATAAATAATTTAGCTGGACTGATTTGCCGTGCACTCCTTTAATTTTTTTTTTTTGTTCGCCAGTATGAATCACCTAGGATTAGTTCCAAGCAGCAGCAGCAGTCTTGTTCGTCTCATAGTTTTGGGTCCATCTCCGCCATCGGGGGTTGGATTACCCCCCATCTGATTGGACTGCGATCACGACATCGATGCAAACTGCAACTGAGTGACGGTGCAAACAGGCCCAATGGAGGAAAGTGCGGGGGTCCCGTGACTTCCACTCGAGCACGTCACTTTGGCCGGGCTCGGCGGTTTTTGCTTCGAATGCCGATACATTTCAATCCAATATCGTAAATATGATTAATCTAGATTCATCCCTCCCCTGTAGACCAGTGACACTAGCTCGTCTACTTGAGCTCACTTGTTCAATTATGGTCTAGAGACGGAGTTTGCGTACCTCCTACTCTCGATAACAAGGACCATCTTCTCCTAGTTCACATCGTTCGATTCTGCGGACATCCGGGGTCATTTGCCGCAGACCTGCAGCTGGACCGCATTCGTCAGCAGCCACCACGTTCTCGGTCGAGAGCCCGGGGTTGGACCCATAACGGGGTTTGAATATCTACGAACAACACACCTCGGGTTGATGGACTAATACGATCCCAAAAATAGTGATATAATATATATATATGCTCTGCACATCATATGATGCAAGCTCTCGGGGCGAAACTATGGTCGAAAATATATGCAAATCCCTAGCACGATGCACGCAAAATGTACCCTGAAGACGCCAGAATCACAACCAATCCCCACCCCCAATATCCCAAGCAATCAATGTACATGTCCCAGACGCCGAATTCAGAAAGGGCATCACAAGACCTCATGAATGTTAATTATGTCCACCCCCCCCCCCAACAATGGTGGCACTAAGCGATCCCCTTCGCGCACAAACGACACCAACGCCTCCCTGGAGTACAGAAGACGGTGGAACTGTTGCATGTAGGTCCGCCATCCCAGCCAGTGTCCGCTTGTCCGGTTCGTGAAGATAAGTATGTAGATCGTATCAATAAGTTTAAATAACAAGGCTTTGAAAGAAAAGAGGAGGACGATGTCTGATAGGTTGATGGCCAAGGCTGGAAAGTGGTCAAGCCTCCAGCAAGAGCGCGGGATTATTGTCGCCGATAGCACGAGGGCTGCCTCACTTCGTGGAAGGGGCGCTAATTTGCCAGCCTTTCGGAGACGGAGCCGAAGCCCTGCCACAGGTGAGAATCGGCTTTTTGTATAAGTCGGCAACGCTCAGTGTTGACTGTTGGCTTCGAGTGCGAGACTACCTGCCATCATTCCAGCCATGCATCTTTCCATTTGTTCCCGGTACGTGTTCGTAGACCGGCTGCAGCAGGGCGGCCGCCTGGACTGTTGACTGAGAAGGCTGGGGAGGGCCGGTACCCGATCGCCGTCTTCTTTCTCTCTCAAGGGGACCGGGCAGCTCAGGTTCTGCGTTGCGGGCGCGGAAATTGCGGTTGAGAGTATTCACCCAATTACCACCCTCCTCATCTTCACCCAGCCAGTAGTTGCGACCGATGCTGATCATAATACGTCCCAGTTTACCCTGCCACCCTTGGCCATCGGGGCTGTGCGCAGAGAATGGTTCGCGATCAATGTCGGCGATACTAGCCACGCTAGCGATGGAGGTGTTGCGGCTGTGGGTCGGGAGTTGAGTGTGTCGCGGCACGGCGACGTAGAGACGGAGAGCCTGTCGCGCAAAGGCCAGCATGACAAAGACGAAGTAAATGCGGATGGTCCACAGCAGGCAGATGAAAACGATGCTTTGGAAGCTTTCAGGCTGAGACACGGCGTTACCCAGGGCATCCGATCTCCTTGCATAGGGATCGGCTTGATCCTTGTGCGACGAATCGTACTTTGGACTGGTGAAACCGGCGGTTTGCGCGATGGTCTCCGCGCCCGGTCCAGAGGCGCTTCCATTATCGTAGTGTTGGGCTATAACGAGGAACCATGTAACCCCAAACGCGGTGGTGTAGGCTGCATTAATGATACTGTCGAGAACGTAGAGCCAGGCGAGCGCAAGACATTGCAGGGGAGACTGTTGGCGAATATGAGGGAAGAGATATGTGACGAGACCCAGCGCGAGGAGGGAGTAAAGGTACATCGACAGTTGGACAGGTGAAAGATGGTAACCGGTCAAAAGGGCGAGCAAGCCATAGAGGCCGCTGATTTTGTTGAGAAGTAACGATAAAGTGATTAAGGATGCACCGGTCTGAAGACTCATGACATAGAGAAAGGTCTGTGTGTTTGGAAACCCGGACCAGCCGGGATTGGGTTAAGTCAGCTTCAATTCAAGAAGAAAGCGACCGAGCAACGGAGGCAGGCGGAACTCCGTAAAATTTCACCACTAATTCAATAGATAGGAACATACCTCTGGCCGCGGGATGCGGAGGAGACGGGTTGAAAACCCCATGATGTTTAAATTTGAGGGGCAAAATGTGCCAAATCGATAAGAGTAGGGTGAAATGGTAGTGGTGGTGGTGGTGGTGATGAATGGAGAAAGGGAGTGTGACAAAAAGAGGCAAAGGAATGGAAGGTGACGACGGAGAAGGAGAGTGAGTGAGTAGGTAGAGAGGGGATGGGGAGTTTTAACTACAGTAGTACGCAGTAGTTACGGTTTTCAAGGTTGAAAGAGTGAACGAGTGCGTGAGAGAAAGTAACGCTGGGCGCCCAAATTGCGGGTAATTGGCCCAGGGGCGGCGCTTTCTATCCGGTCGGGTCCGCCGATCGCTGCCTTGTCCCCCTCCTGGAATACTACTTACTGTACTCCGTACGCTGTACTGTGTACATAAGTCTTTTAAACTAACTGATTTCATTTATTTTTTTGGGGTCTTTGGGCCTTTGGACAGTCCCTGCCCCAGCTGGTCCCCCATGACGTATCTACACCATTACAATCTTTCTCATACTTTGGTCCCTATCTGGCACGAGGTGGTCTGCAGATTGATTGATTGATTGATTTAATAATCATGACATTGTATCATTTTATTAGTCCTATCTTCCCCTCCTGCTGAAGAGTTGCAGACCACCACAAGAATTCTCTTCTCTGGCTCTGGACTTGGATTAACCACCGCATCCAGATAGTCTACCCACTTCGACCGAGCGGAACAAACAAACCACTAGGCAAACTTTTATGCACATTATTATTCTACTTTCCGCCCACCGACAAATACGAGTACGAGGGAAGGCGTTGTTTGCTCCATACATAGTCTACTTACGAGTACACACGCAGTACATGCAATCCACCTTGTGAAATTCCACTCAGGGGTTTCTTGGGGGCCCTAATACATCTGCTTACACCATTCAACAAATTTCAAGAGTTGCGACGCAGGAGCACAGTGGAATGAAAAAGTTAGCCTGACTGCCAGTATATTCAATAGGGATAATCGTGTTTAAAAAGACTTTTTCCATGGTCAGATCGTAACCGATGATCATATGACTATGATTCCGCGCGCCAACTGGGTAGACCCGCCATTGTTGCTGTGTAGTGGCTGCATTGACTGTGGGAAGCTGAATTCAAAGCAGTGCACAGTCAAGCTTCTATGAAAATGGCACATGGTTTGATTAATGTGTCCCCACACCACCTGCCGAACGCAATACAAGTCCAATCTCAGGACTTGACACGCACACGCCTGGCCCCTACGGTTATCGGGGTCTTTTCGGGACAAAGTGGGAATGAAAAAGATAGGTCCAATTAAGTTTAGAAAGAAAATTGAAGCTTGATCTAAACACGCTATTCACTCGAAAGAAGGGGGACAGGAGGAAATGTACATGTTGAGGATGGGTGAACATTATAGACAGTATCTCATGCCGCTGATTGAGGTTCAGGCAAGAGACTAAGAGAAGAAGTTATAAGAGAAAATTGAGTCGGCGGCTGCCAGCCCAGTGATTAGCAGGCGCATCCATCGTTAGTCGTGGTCTCTTTCGGGCTAATGTTAACATCGATCACTGGGAAAAGTCAGCAAAGCTATGTTCAAGAAAGGGGTTTGGCTCGCGGGGAAAACCGACTTTGGTTGTCCCCTCTGTTGCTTTCTCCCTCCATACCCGGTAGGGCCTGGGCGATTCTCCGGAAAAGCTGCTTGACGTTGTGGCCGACCTTCGCACTCGTTTCAATGAACATCAACCCATTCTTCTTGGCCTCCTCTTCACCCTGTGCCGTCGTGACCTCCCGCTTGTCGTTCAAATCGGTCTTATTGCCGACCAGGACAATAATGACATCGTTTCCACGCTCTCCGCGAACATCGTCGATCCATTTCCGGGTGTTCTGGAAGGATTTGGCATTCGAGATGTCGTAAACTACCACGGCGACACTCGAATCGCGAATGTAGGAGGGAATCAGGGAGCGGAACCGCTCCTGACCGGCGGTATCCCACAGTTGGAGGCGCACGGTTCTATCTTCTAGGTACATCGTCTGTATAGACAGCACTGATTAGTTTCGGACAACCACGCGGGCAGGCATGCAAGCTTGCCGTGCTATCGGAAGGTCAACGTCGACCGGACGGACGGTACCTTGGACAAGAAGTCGATCCCAATTGTGGCTTGGTATGTGTTGTCGAATGAATCATACATGAACCTCGTAATCAAGGAAGTTTTGCCAACTGCAGGAAAAGTGTCAGGACTAGCGTGGCGAAGGGAACGACATGCGGGGTGGTTTCTTGTCGCGGAGGATATTCGTACCACTCTGTTCTCCCAGGAAAACCAGCCTGCAATCCAATTAGCGACCGGTTCAAGCAGCGGCTGAACAATCGTGGTTCGCGCTGCTTACTTGAATTTCTTCAGAGGGTTCGAATACGACCCTACACCGGAGGTGGAAGCCATGTCTACGAAAATGTGGTTGAAGCGGCGAAATCAGGGGTAGCGGAAGTAGGTCGCAGGATCGATTCGTGATAGTGGGCGGTGGACGAAAGTTGGAAAGGAAGGTGCAGGGGAAAGGGAACGAGAGAGTCGTGAGAAGCGGAGTCTTTCGAGAGGTTCGGAATTAATTGTTAGGTTAGAGAAGAGGGAGGGGAAGGTGAGGGGAGGAGAAGGCGAGCAGATCAACCCGTACCAGAGGAAGGTTAGATTCTCTAAAGGTCTAATGGACAAATAAGTGACTGGGTTGACCCATGGGTCCGTCCGGGGAACTTTTGACAGACAGTATGTTAGGTTTGCACTGCATAGATTAGACTAACTACCCTTACCTTAGTTAGGAGTACTTAGAGTAAGTGACTGACTACAGTACTGTACGGGGGTACTCAGTACGGTAGACCGACTACCCGGATTAATGCCCGGCCCGATAACCACCACCACCACCATCACTTGCTTGCTTGCTGTTCCACCTGGGCTCGGGGTCTATCGATCACTATTGAAGCTCCTACTGACTTACTACTTACGGTCCTTGTTGTTCCCTACTTGTCCCCCCCTCCTCTCCCCATCCCTCATACCTGAGGCCCTCTTCCTATTCCTCTGCTCTCGTTGTATCCTTCTCTTCAATCAAAAGTATAGGGTCATATCACTCACGGGACGTCCACCATGGTTCTCCGTTATTTCACCGGTGTTGTATTCGTGGCCCTCCTGGTGGTCGGACTATGTAGGGCAACCAACTCCACTAGCTGCATAGAGGTCCCGAACCAGCGCTAACTATGATCTTCTCTTTACCTAGATTTGCTCCTGACCGGTCAAGGTGAACGATTCAATGTAAGCGACAGCTACACTCGCCGACAGTCGCGGTGGAATCCTCGCTAATCCGACCCAGGTCGGTTACTTCTTAGAGTCGGTATCTCCCTATGCGTGGGCCAACCTCGGAATTGCCATGTGCATTGGCTTGTCAGTCGTCGGCGCTGGATGGTATGAAAATCCCCTCAATCTGATACGGTCATACGTCATGCTGAGAAACGGGCTTTTAGGGGTATCTTCCTGACGGGCTCGTCCATCGTCGGCGGTGGTGTCAAGGCACCTAGAATCCGGACGAAGAACTTGATCTCCATTATCTTCTGTGAAGTCGTTGCTATCTATGGTGTCATCATGGCAATCGTCTTCTCCTCCAAGCTCAACCTTGTCGACAATGACGGCATCTTCTCGGGAAGCGACTACTACACCGGTTACGCCCTGTTCTGGGCGGGTATCACGGTCGGTACATGTAACCTGATTTGCGGTATCTCGGTCGGCATCAATGGAAGTGGTGCAGCTTTGGCCGATGCTGCGGATCCCAGCTTGTTCGTCAACCCGACCCGGGGTCTGGAAGAGTGGCTGCTAACACTGCGCGCAACAGGTTCGTCAAGATCCTCGTCATCGAGATTTTTAGCTCGGTTCTCGGTCTCTTCGGACTGATTGTTGGTCTTCTGGTGGGCGGCAAGGCACTCGACTTCGGTGCCGCGTAAGAGTATAAGGATTGTGTAGGAGCTTGTTGTCGGGGGGGGGATGAATTGTATGACTTCTCTCACGTTTGCCGTCGCTTCTTTTTTATTCTTTGTCATCCTTTATCTACTGCATCGGGGCGTACGGATTCGATTCAACTGTAGAACTTTGTTTTGGCAATGCGTGTGAAATGCATTGTTGATCTCGCTGCTTTGCCTGATATTGCGACGGGGAAGAGATGTATAGTAATTGGCAGCGGGGCTGACCTAGGAATATAAAAGTGATGAAGATGCATAGTATGCTTGGATTGTCTGGTGAGCAGGAATATGATAAAGTGTTGAGTGTGTTCCGTAAATGCCTTCCAAGTTGTTGCGTTGATGGCCGATTCCGCTTGTCTTAATCGGTTAAGTTAGTGTCTCCGCCATGCTTATCGCTCTTCCCCGCCGACAGGAAGCATCTCTGATATAATAATCCCTCTCCTTCCTCGCCCCTCAGCAACCAACAATTATCTTTCATCATGACCGATACCACTACCCTCAAAGCAGCAATCTTAGTGGTGTCTGATACGGCTTCCCAGGATCCTTCGACAGACAAAGTTGGCGATGCTCTTACAAACGTCTTGTCAACGGCGGGCCCCAATACCTGGGACAAGCCCGTTATCAAGATCGTCCCTGATAGTGTGCTAGACATCCAACGTGCTATCTGTGACTGGGCAGATGGGCCAAACTGGGTCAATCTCATCTGTGTAAGTGGTGGCACTGGCTTCGCAGCTAAGGATATCACCCCTGAGGTTCGTCTACTATCTACCCTGGCATCGACGCCATCGTTCACACTGACGCTTCGATCAGGCGGTCTCGCCTCTGATCCATCGCTATGCGTCTGGCCTGGTGTGAGTCATGTCTCGAATCTGCATTTTTAAAAATAATGACTGACCGGAGCAAAGCCATGGCATGCTTGCCGCATCCCTTAAGGTTACACCGTGTATGTCTGATTGTGTTGTATGCATGGACATCACTGCTAACAGGTATCAGTTGCGATAATGTCGAGACCCGTTGCAGGAGTGCGCGACAAAACCTTGATTGTCACCCTGCCCGGCTCCCCCAAAGGTGCCAAAGAGAATCTGGAAGCAATTATCAAACTTCTTCCGCACGCATGCAGCCAAACGGCTGGTGCGAACTCTAGAGCCCTTCACGCAGGCGGCATCAAGAAGCTAGAGGCCGAGGCAGGAGTATCTGCCTCACCTCAACCAACAAACCATGATCATCATCATCACCACCACCATCACGACCACAGTCACGGCCACTCTCATGGTCACGGTCATGGCCACGCTATACCCAGAGCACACACGACTCCCTCCGAGCGGCCACAGTCCAACGACCCGAATGCAGGGCCGAACCGCCGCTATCGATCCTCCCCCTACCCCATGCTCTCCGTTGATGAAGCACTCCAACTCATCAGCGAGCACACGCCTGAACCCACCATCATCGAGGTCCCTGTGACCACAGCCTTAGTCGGGTCCGTGATCGCGGAGGACGTTTACGCGGCGGAAGCGGTCCCAGCATACCGCGCCAGCATCGTAGACGGATACGCCGTAATCGCATCAGCAACATCAGAGTCTGGCCCTAATACCCGAGGCATCTTCCCCGTAGCCTCGATCACCCACGCCAACGAGGGCGGGATACTCACTCCCTTGGAGCCCGGAACCATCGCCCGCATCACTACCGGCGCACCGCTGCCTCCAAACGCCAACGCCGTCGTCATGGTCGAAGACACCGTCCTCGCCACCTCTACTCCGGACGGACAGGAAGAAGCCACAGTTGAGATTCTGACCTCCGAGATCCAACCGGGCGAGAACGTCCGCGAACCCGGCAGCGACGTCGCCCTCGGCTCCCTCATTCTCCGCAAGGGTGACCTCATCACCTCTGTGGGCGGAGAGATCGGCCTCCTAGCAGCCACCGGCACGCGGATCGTGAAGATCTACCAGAAGCCGCGGGTTGGCGTTCTCAGCACCGGCGACGAGCTCGTCGAACACGACGACCCGCGCCAGCTCACCGGTGGGCAGATCCGGGACTCGAACCGCCCCTCCCTCCTCTCCTGCCTCACGTCCTGGGGGTTCCCGACGGTCGATCTGGGCATCGCGCGCGACACCCCGGCCGGTGAACTCGAACAACGCCTCCGGGATGCTCTCCGCGGCGTCGGGACGGCCGCCAACCACGGCGTCGATGTGATCATCACCACCGGCGGCGTCTCCATGGGCGAGCTGGACCTCCTCAAACCGACCATCGAACGCTCGCTCGGCGGCACCATCCACTTTGGCCGCGTGTCCATGAAACCCGGCAAACCGACCACCTTCGCCACTGTGCCATTCAAGCCTTCTTCGTCCTCGACGGACGCGCAGCAAGAACGTCAGAACAAACTCATCTTCGCTCTCCCCGGCAACCCGGCTTCGGCGCTGGTCACGCTCAACCTTTTCGTGCTGCCTTCGTTGCACAAATTGATGGGCATGGGTTACAGACAAGGCGGATCCGGACCGATGACGCCGTCGTCGTTGGGCCTGCCGCTCGTGTCGGTTGCGCTGGCGCATCCGTTCCCCGCCGACCCCAAGCGCACGGAATATCACCGGGCGGTGGTGACGGCCTCCCGCTCGGATGGGAGGCTCTATGCCACGAGCACCGGGGTGGATGGCGTGGGCCAGCGAAGTTCGAGAGTGGGCAGTCTGGCCAGTGCGAATGCGTTGGTGGTGCTTCGGCCTGGGAAGGGGAAGGTCGAGAAGGGGGCGTTGGTGGAAGCGTTGATGTTGGGGCCGGTTGTGGCGGAGGCTTGAGCTACCGGTCTCACTGTTACAACCTCAAAAACAGTCTCAAATATCCACATGTTTTAAGCATATGCTTACTTGGAGTGTTCAAAAGAGACAAGCTTTGAAAATATTGGAGTTGTTAGGGTCTGTCGCTTCTTCCCACAATTATAGTGAATAATATATAGCTCCCCGCATCCGTAGTCAGGAGATACCGACCTACCAACACCATAGAAAATATGACCGACTCCATTCTATATGTAGCATAAATACCAAAGCGAACAGATGAATCAAGAAAAACAAACCTCCAAGAGATTCTATCTACCTCCTAACCAAGAATTAGGAAACACTTAAGGAAAACCAGGGTATCAATTCCAAACTCCACCCTCACAATCATCCGTCATATTCACCATTTACCTCGATCCCAACCATCACAATTCCAAATCCTAGATTTTCCAAAAATCAAACCTTCCCAACCCTCCACCCCTTCTTCTTCGCCGCCCGCAACACCGGCAACGTCGCCTCCCGCCCCTGCTTCCTCGCAATCTCAATGACCACGAAGCGCACGAAGTCCGTCAGCGTCCAGTAACTGCTGTGCGCGCTCAACATGTTCAGGTACTGAATATTGAGGGGCCCACCGCCGCCGGACAGGTAGTAGTCGATCTGCCCGTTGTCGTTCAGCAGCAGCATGCGTTTTTCGGCGATCTCTTCGCGGGTGAAATCGTGGGTTTCCAGCTCAACCTGCGTGGGGAGTTTGGCCGTTATGGCAGGAGGTGGGATGGTCGTGTTGCTGGTGGTGGTGCTCGACCAGCGGAAGACGTTGCCGAAGGAGGACCAGATGGTCGAAGTGGTGGTGGGGATGGAGGCCGGTTTGAGGGAGGCGGCCAGGTCGCTGTCCACGGCTGCGTTGACGCGGTAGGCGATTGCTTTTGTTTCCCCGGGGGGTTAGTTGCGTGATGGAGAGGGGTGGGGGTGGGGGTGGATGGTTTTTGGTGAGGGGCAGGGGGCTAGGGGGCTTACGGTCTGTGGTGTGCATGATGTTGTAGAGATTGTCGACGGCTAAACAGCCGTATGTGTCTGCTTCGCCTGCGACGCCGCGGAGACGGTCGTCGCCTTCGCAGCCGGGTTTGTCGCGGCCGCGGCGGGGGAGGAGGTTGGCTGGGTTGGTGTAATGGTTAGCTTGGAGCTTTTCTTTTCTTTTCGATAATTGTGGGTGAGAAATGCGAGGAGAAGGTATACCCTTGTTGAGGAACAGGAAGAATCCAGCGGGACTGCCACAGATGAATAGGTTCTTCGTATCGAATTCGAAAATGTCTCCGTGCACACTGGTCGTGGAGAAATCAAACCTGGGGATCTTGGTGGGTTGGTGACTGAGGATGTCCAGGGCCATCGCACTCCCCAGGGAGTGTGCGAGTAGATGGACCCGGCCATTTTGCTGGAATCCTGGGTTGTTCTCGCACCACAGACGGAAGATACGGTTGGCTTCTTTGACGACGGCTTGGATCATTTTGGGCTTGTGATGCGATAGATAGTATGGGATATCCAGCATGACGTCGCTAATCAGGGATCTGACAGCGGGGATGGTCTCCGGTGTGATATCCTTTAGGGAGTAGTGATTGGAAGCTGGATCTCCGGCCGCTGGAGACTCGAGATTGGCCTCATCCAGGGACAGTGTTGAGCGCCAATTCACAGGCAAGGCCATGATCCCCCCGTGTCCTGAACGCACGTGGGGCCACACGGGCTCGCTATTCAGCTCCATATTGATGGTCCTGCGGAAGGCGTTGATCGCGTGGGTGAAATGAAAACTTTCCATTCGTTCTGATAGCTTCTGGCCTATACCGTGGATGACAAGGACCAGGTCCGTCGGAGCCGGCCGTAATTCTTCTATTGCGCAGGCATAGCATACCGGTTCTCCTGAGGTGGACATAGCTCGAGTCTGGGTGCTTCGAAGGTAGTTCCTCACTTCTACGGGGCTCGGTTTGCTGGGATGTAGACGGTCCCACAATCGCCGGCTGAAGCCGCGAACTACAGGGATACCAATCTGTCTGCCTTTACGAATCGCACTGAGCGGTCTGCGACCGCGCGATACAGACGGAAGAAGACTGGGTCGTAAAATCTGTGCTTCCCGCCAGTCAGCATAGATGACGCTTGAGTTCAAGAAAAGCTTGATAGATTCGGTGTGTGCCGGAGTGGCCCCAGCAGCGCGGTTTTCATCGAGTGCGAACGGCTCATTGTCAGGGCGCTCTGGTTGGTCCACCAGATGAGCAGCGGATGGAGTACCATCAGAAGCAGCTGCAGCTGTTGACGGCCGGGTTGGGTCCTCTTTGGGCCAAAGCCTGTGCACTACCTTGAGCTCCGCATCAGCGCCGTTCTCGACACAGCTATTGAGTTCGTCCTGCCATGTCTCAGTCCACGGCTTCAGGTAGAGGTACCCATCTTCTAGCTTGTTAGCAAGCTCCGTCTCAACTGGCAACATAGTATTCTTGTAGAACCACGTCGCACGGACGACGTTCGATATGTCGTGCAATGGGCTCCAATATATCGGTTTCATCTATTTGTAAGGGTTACAATTTGTAGATCCCACGGTTCATAGAAGGTACTATACCTTCAGCTTTGGCAATTCGACAAGGTGAAGCCGGGAAGCGCCGACTGGAATCCTCCACTGCGTTTCGTCAATCTCTACAGAATCCTGGAGTGGTTCGTCCGATTCCTCAAGCGATTCCCTATCGACGCTTGTCCTCAGTCCCGAACGCTTGGCTGCAGTGTGAGCGGTCGCATCCGTCGGTGATTCTGGAATGGCGTCCCGCGAAGAGTTCGACTCCACGGATCTGCCCAATAGACTTTGCGGCTTGTGAATTGGGGCTCTGATAAACGGAGAACCGCTGATACTTGCATCTCGCGAAGTGTTACCCCGGGAGCTGACGCTATCGCCACTGTCGAAAGCGACGTCCTCCGTCCGTAGCACCCCGCTGGGTTTGACTCCCGTGGGCTCGGTATCTTCCCGAAGAAATGGTTCTCTGCCCTTGTAAGTGACCTTGGTCGGCCTCAAGTTCTCCTTCGAGTTAGTTTCCAGCGTACGTGACCTTTTCCGGTTTCCTTCATGCTCCAACCCGGGGCTTCCGAACTCGTTTTTGAATCGACCTCTGAAGGTCTTCAATGCCCTGTCATCCAGAGACAGTGGGACGGCAGTGTTCTGCTTCCCTTGGCTGTCTTCCAGGCTGGAGCCCAGGGATAGTCCCATCTTCTTCTTCCATTCTGCGCTTATTGTTGGTTCTTGCCCTGGAACAAGTATCCCTGAGTTTCTTTTGGAAGCGCGCCCTTCCTGTGCCCTGGCTTTCGTAACCAGACTTTCTCTTCGGACCCGTTGTAGCGACTTCCAGGCTTCTTCCAGAGCAGCGTTATCCCGGACCGAGTAAGGTTGGAGCGGAGCCTTCGCATTGGCGGATCCTTGACCGCCACTTGGAGGGGGTAGCGCAGTCAAGGGGTCATCTATCGGTAGCGGAGAGGTATAGAAGAACTGAGGCCGTACGCTCGGAGGAGATTCGGAGTAGAGCCATGAGGAAGGATCCGAAGCATCGGCTGCCAGAAAACATGAAGGTCCGTAAGTATGGATGGGAGCGGCCATTGTGATGGCAGAGAACAGGCACACTATCCCTGTGGGCGTAGCTCGCTTTAAGTACTAAAGAACTTAGCGCAAACCAGTCAGATCAAGTCTGTAGCAGGCTGTGAGCGAGGAAAGATGGAAACGATGTGGCACAAAAATAATTTAGCTTTGGGTGGACGGTCAGTGCAGCGCGCGCTGAAAGGGTCAGCAAGGGAGAATTAAGCACTCAGGAGTGCTTCCAACTGGCAGGGGAATCTGTCTAGACAAGGACAAGTCGACGTGTCATAGCGTAAAAGGGAGAAATATCGACGGACGCATGATGACAAGCATCCGCTGGAAGTTTGAAGCATTCTCGAGGTTTATGAAGGGAGAAAAACCGATGGGGGAAAAGAGAAACAACTTCCAGTTTCTGGTGATGGGCGGAGGAAGAGAGGATGACGTCGACCCCACGTGAAAAAGAAACAAACCATCCACCCATGCAAATGCAAAACAACCACCATAACAACAACTTACAACTTACAACTTACAACCACCACCAACACCACGACCACCCCCGACCGCAACTGCCACCTCATCAACTCGAGTATGACAGCAGTCACGCAGGAGCCACGTTGGTCATTTGAAGCTGTTATTCGTCCGAGCTAGGATCCCCGATTATGCAATAACCCTGATCCGCACATGATGGCAATCCGTTCATTCGGCCAAGAATTCCGCGCGTGACGGAATCAAAAGGCGGAGAAATTGATTGATTTTCTAGATTATCATTCGATACGCTTGACAACTCCGTTTTCGCGAGAGACATCAAAGGGAAAAACTAAAAATCAGCGAAAATGAAAAGCAAAACACAAAGATCGAGCCGGTAAGGGCGAATCAACTGCCCCGTCATTTCACAAGTGTAGCCCCGACTTCCCCACTGCACCACAGTATATTCCGGCCGACTCAGCCGCGCTTCATCAACAACAAAGCCTGCATCTGCAACTCTTCGAAGTCACACATAGTATCCAGGGGCGCTCCGAGCATCTCCAGAAGCTTATGGATGTCATACATTTGCTTCCGAATCGCGCTGTCCGGGGCGCAGAAAGTGCGAACGCTCATCTCTTTGCCGATCGCTTTCCAGTTGTTCAGGTTCGTTCTCAATTGTACGGGGTTGGTCGCGCTAGACCCGTTGAATTGAACAGTCCGAAGGTTCGACAAGATCAGCTGGCGCTGGGTAGCTTGATCATAGTGAAACTCCACGACTCGTGGCCGATTCTTTGCAGCCCAGTAGTTGGTGACCTTGGAAATGGATTCTCCGGAAAGCAGACCTCTATTGTGTTGTTCGACGAGGAACCTGTTGGCAACGACGCAGATCATAACCTCCAGCTGCGAGTACAGTCTTGCTTGGGTCGGAGCATCCAGAGAAACCGGCACAGTCCTTGCAGGTCCATACCTTTCAGGCATAGGCCCGGAGGAATGGATGCTAAGGTTGACCTTGAAAAGGTCAACGGTCTTTTTCAAGGAGATGTCAGGACATGGTCTTCCATCGTGACATGGTGGTCCACTTACCAGGTCTTCCACCAGGTCTTCAACATGCATCTTGAATTTCTTCCCCAGTCTACGCAAGCCGAAAGACTTGTGGTTGTCACCCGCCAGCTCTCTGAGATCTGCGTTGCTCCCCAGCCAGCCGTTCTCGCCGAAAAGCTTCTTGTGTGAAGGCTTGCTTCCGCTCAGGGGGTTCCCAACCAGCGAAACACCAGTCAAGTCTGCGGTAGTCGGAGACAGCTGAGGGCTAGGGCTGAGCCTCATCATGACCGTCTGGCTGACTTCGGGCTCAGAGTATGGATGGTAGCCGATATGGTGTCCACGGCCATTGTGAAGTGTGATGCCCGGTGCCTCCAGCACGCAGACTGTGTCGTCAAACTCGGACTGGTGCATCACGGGCGACGGAGGTGAGTGGCGAGGTGACAGATCTGATTCAATTCCAACAGGAATGTACTCCGACGAGGCGGATGACTGAGCATCGAATGGAACAGCCGTGTCACTAGTTGGAGAGCCTGTCCAGAACTTCATGAATGGTTCATAGAAGGGATTGAGTCTGGCGATATCGTCGTAGCTCAGGTCCCTATCTCAGAAGTCAGTCTTTCAAGACCCGAATCGGTTGGTTCGTGTACTTACTGTGACTGGAGCATGGTGTACTGTGGGCGAATCCGGTCGCCCATTTTGACAATTGTGATCAAGGATATTCGTTAGATGAGAGAGTTGAAACCAGGGAATGAAGACGAGGGCGAGGAGAGGATCGACAGCAACATATGGAGGATGTCAAGGAGTAAGATCAAGCAGAATGTAGAGATCTGTCTGAGGGGGAGAACTGGGAGATCAGATGCTGGATTGAGTCATTCATATCCTTATTGTTCTATTGTCATCAATACCCAATGTGTTAAATAGTGAATGTAGTAATCTCTCGGACAATGATCAATCATATCACTTCTACAATTTAAAAACTAAGGTGGGGGGCCACTCCACCCAGGCTGGGATGAGTGAATAGCTACAATTGATAAAGGACAATACTCTGAATAGGCTAAGCTAAACAACACACTAGGTAAATCAATCTGGATAGTTGTAGTTGAGGCTCAGCTTTCCTTACCCACCTGGCTTTTTCCAACCAGTAGCTCTATCAAGCTTGTGTTATAATTCTACTGAGAGGATAAGCACATGGAAAAAGGGCAATGGCTTTAGTAGGCTAGGTAAAGAATATGCTCAGGAAGTCAATCTGGATAGTTGCAGTTGAGACTCAGATTTCCTTACTGATACGTCTCTTCGCAATTGATAGTACTTGAACATGTGCTCCAGGTTTAAACAGATGATAAGTCAGGATGAAATTCTTGCCTGCCCTATACTTTTCCTGTGTAGATATGAGTCCCGACAATTGAATATTGAAAACCCCGATATAGAGTAGAGCATGATCCTCGTTCTCCTACTCCATTCAAGTTGACATGAGGATAAGCCTCGACTAACCTGCTACCTGAGTGGAGTAAGAACAAACCACTGTACTGTCTATGAGCCGACGCATTAATCACTAAACTGCTGGTCTGCATTTCGTATGGCATTGAGTCTATTCAACTCGAGACCAAGCATCGGGTCAGTAAAAAAGTGGGGTTATCGCTTTGTTTATGATCCTAACCGGGCTAATTATGATTGCTACTGTATGGCAGGGATTGCTAGCCTAAAAATGCACTACCTGTTGCGTGCCTGAGGCCGGACTGCGAATCGTAATCCAGCCGGATGGACTGAATTGTCGCCAGATGAATTAAACATCGTCTATCATGCAGCTGCTATTGGCCCTTCTCCGAAGTACCGGGAACATGTCCCATGGGGTCAAGATCTACCGTTGATCTGGGGCCCGAGTCCGTCGGGACAGAGCTCAAGGCACTGAAGTCGGTACCTAGTAGGCGAGTCAAGGGGAAGCAAATCTCGGAGTAAATTGCCGGGTTGTGGCCGGCAGCGTCGGAGATATCTGGACACTGGTTGGTGCCCCAAATTGGAATTTATGCAGCGAACGTTCATAACTTTGTGATGTACTGATGTTTATAACGATGTCATTAAATCAGCTACAAAATCAATACTGCCTTTCGATTCTCGTGATATGCAATTCCTGATATAGAGACCCAGACCGAGCCTCGTAGCGAGGACATTGACCGAATCCCTATATGGAACTCGACTACCTACCGTACTATACGCATACTTTTCGACTGGGTTTTAGTACCTACCATTACCTTAACTCCGTGAACAGTTCGGCGTTCGGCACGAGTTGAGCCAATCAAGTGGAAGGGATTGAGAGAGGAAATCCCGGGAGAGGCTGCCGAGGAGCAGCATCACGTGCTCTGGCCTCCACCTTCCCTCCACCTGCCGAACTTCTAGCCGCTCCCAGAGTGCGGAGGCTCGGATCGCAGACCGGCAATCCCAGTGGCCTCCCCGCAGTCCTCCAATTGGAGGCTGTCGCCCTCTATCTTACTCAGATTGTAATTCTCGGTGTCCCACAAGCTTACTCAATAGGTCTGCTTCTCAAGGCCCTCCCCGGCCATAGTTCAGTTCGGTCGCAATTCACCCCCAGGCTCCTCCACAATCTAGCCCACACTGAAATGCCGTCCTACGTCTCCGTTGCTTGCCGCCTGTATGCAATCCGGTGGGACCTTTGTTTTCAGCTTTTCAATCAATATTATTTATACCTCCATCATCCTCATGTCGTTCAATTGGGTTTTTTCTTCTTCTTGTATCATCATCAACTCATTACTCACATTTTATCTTTACCTCTTCATCACTCTCCACTCATTCTTTCTTGTGGCTGATGGTCGTGAATCCTGACCCTTGATCTCCGAACCACTTACTCCTCTTCTTATCCCACAACCACTTTACCAAACACAGATCCCTTGTCGCACAGCATCATGACTCAATCGCAAGAGAAGTATGATATCGTCATTGTGGGCGCTGGCCCCGTTGGCATTCTCTTGTCGCTGTGCATGTCTCGTTGGGGCTACAAGGTTAAGCACATCGATAACCGACCCGTACCCACCGCCACTGGCCGCGCCGACGGAATCCAGCCCCGCTCGACTGAGATCCTCCGCAACTTGGGCTTGAAGCGCCAAATTATGGCCTATGAGCCCGCCAAGGTCTACGATGTCGCTTTCTGGGATCCCCTCCCCGGTGACCAAGGAATCCACCGCACTGGAAGCTGGCCCAGCTGCCCGCGCTTCATCGACACCAGATACCCTTTCACCACCCTCGTCCACCAGGGTAAGATCGAGCGCGTCTTCCTTGACGAGATCCAGAAGGCTGGTACCACCGTCGATCGACCCTGGACCATTGTTGGCTTCAAGAACGACGGCCTGGACGAGACCTACCCCGTCGAGGTCCAGCTGAAGTGCATCGACACCAATGTGATCAAGACCGTCCGCAGCAAGTACCTCTTCAGTGGTGAAGGTGCCCGCAGCTTTGTTAGACAGGAGCTGGGCATCCAGATTCACCACAAGGATCCTATCTCCTACGTCTGGGGTGTCATGGATGGTGTCGTGAGAACTAACTTCCCTGATATTGAGGTAAGCCGTCGCATCACATCCGAGCCGCGGCAATTGGCATTCGCTAACATCGCATCGCAATCCCTAGACCAAGTGCACAATCCACTCCGATGCCGGATCTATCATGGTTATCCCCCGTGAGGACAACATGGTCCGCCTCTACGTCCAGATCGCCTCGTCCACTGATCCCGACTTCAACCCCCGCAAGACTGCCACCGCCGAGGAAGTTCAGGAGACCGCGAAGAAGATCTTGAAGCCCTACTGGGTGGAGTGGGACCGCGTGGAATGGTACTCCGTTTACCCTATCGGCCAGGGTATCTCGGAACGGTATACCTTGGACGAGCGGGTGTTCATGGGTGGTGATGCCTGCCACACTCACAGCCCTAAGGCCGGCCAGGGCATGAACACGGCTTTCCACGATGCTCTTAACATGGCTTGGAAGATCCACGCCGTTGAGTCCGGACTGGCCAAGCGCGAAATCCTCAAGACGTATGAGAGCGAGCGCAAAGACATCGCCGAGACTCTCCTGAGCTTCGATAACAAGTACGCTGCCTTGTTCTCCAAGCGTCGCCCTACTGCCGGCGAAGTCGGCGAGGCCAGCCACAACGCCGCCGCGGCCAATGTCGAGGAGGACCCCTTCGTCAAGACTTTCAAGGAGTCTTGCGAGTTCACCAGTGGCTATGGCGTTGCTTACAAGTCCAACGTCTTCACCTGGGATGAGACCCACCCCGCCCAGTCTCCTCTCTTCAACATCCCTGGCGTGAAGCTGATCCCTGGCCGTGCTTTCACTCCCAGCACCGTCACCCGCTTGGCGGATGCTAACTTCGTGGAGCTGGAACAAGAGATCCCCGCCAACGGTGCGTTCCGGATCTTCGTCTTCGCCGGCAAGCAGGCCAAGACCAACAAGGCTATCGCGGACTTCGCTGCCAACCTGGAGAAGGAGCGCTCTTTCCTGTCGGTGTACCGCAGAAGTGACATCGCCGATGTTTCCTTCTTCGAGCGCCACCTTCCTCACTCCAAGCTCTTCTCCCTGTGTGTGATCTATGCCGACGAGAAGAACAAGGTCGACATGGCGGCTGTGCCCAAGATCCTGCGGGATTACCACCACCACATCTACGCCGATGACCTTCCCGACGTGCGGGTTCCTCACGCCAAGTTTGCCGCTCACGAGAAGCTTGGATTTGACCCTGAGGTTGGTGGTGTTGTCGTCACTCGTCCTGACAGCCACATTGCCTGCACGGTTCAATTGGTGGAGGGCAGTGGCACGGTCGACGCTCTTAATGCCTTCTTTGGTGCCTTCACGACGAAGCCGCTGGGCCAGGATCAGCAGGCTAGCCGACTGTGAGGATGGGTTTTTTTTTTTGGAATAAGATGTCTGTAATTTATGTTTGGAGATTGGCCTCCTTGCTTGGAGTCTGTAAATAGTTTTCTTTTTTATTTTTGCAGTTTCGGGTTTGTGCTATTGCAGCGGTTGCGACCTGGCATGTTTTGGCGTTGTTGTATATATCCCGAGAAATTCAATTCTCCAAATTTATTTCAAACCACAAGCAAAAATAGGCAAATTATTGTATGAGATTGTCGGCCAGCAGCCCAGCGAAGAGAAAAGAAAATGATGTAAAGGCGGCGAAGGCGGCAGCATAGCCTGCCGAAGTGTGAACCATTGTTACGGCCCCGCACCAGACCTGTATGACTTCGTCCTCTCCCCGCCAGCGATCTGCCCAACACAAACAACACAACCGGGAACATCCACCAGAATGCTCTCCTTGATCCTCTCCGCCGAACTGAACGGGTAAGTCAATGATTTGATTTGATCTTCCACACCAAAGCCGCCGGCGGGTCTCACCCGCAAGGTTCTCATGCCTTTTTTTCTGCCACTCTGCATAACTTCAAACCTCTTCCCCGCACCTGACGCAACATATATTCTCTATGCATGCATCAAAATGACCTAAACCGTAGCTAACCTATGTAAAATCCACAGAGTCAACGAGCTCCGTCCCAAGGACACCGAGGAGGAGCCCTACTACTACACCTTCAAGGTTCAGTGCACAAGCTGTCGTGAGGTTCACCCCAACCCCGTCAGCTTCACCCGCTTCGTAAGTCCATCCCCAGGTTCTGCAGGAAAAAGCTGCACCCACTCACAGAGACACTCAGGAGCAGCACGAAATCCCCGGAAGCCGGGGCGAGGCCAACTTTGTGTGGAAATGCAAGCTCTGCCAGGTGAGGATCCTTCCTGTCTTGCCCATCATGCCCCGTCCATGACCCAGAAAGAATCCCTGATTCGCTTACGTCGCTACGTGAAAAGAAAACCCACTCTGCCTCGATCATCGCGGGGCCCAACGCCTACGAGGCAAATGACAAGCGCACCGGCCAGAAGGTGATTGACATCGACTGCCGGGGTCTGGAGTTTACCGAATTCAAGGCCGATGTAAGTGTTCGCCAGTTTCTGACCCTGCCTAGTCTATCTTTTCAGGATGCAAGAAAAAAAAGCTAATGCGAGTTCTACCAGGGCGAGTGGCTGGCTAAGGGTGTCGAGTCGAACACCCCGTTCACCGACATTGATTTGTCCGAGGAGTGGTATGACTACGATGAGAAGGCCGGCGATGAGGTTTCTATCAAAGAGATTTCCTGGACGGTGGGAAGATCCTAGATGTCTTTTATGACCTCGATTGGGGGGGAATCTTAGGTTTTTCTTTTCTCTCGTGTACATTTGCGGCGTTTTAGCTGAGCTCAACGTAACATGTTGACATTCGGTGTCATTGATCCCATAGTTTCTGCGATGATGAGTAAGGCTTCGAACCGGTAGTATGGTATTTGAGGTAAAAGTCATCTCTCAGTTCATGCCATAAAATGCCATCTTTTCCCAAGCTTGATACCTTGGAAAGAAATACTGCGATGTCCGGAAAGGCGGTGAGCCTACCTAGCTCTCTGATTGGTTTAAAGCCGCGTCTAGCCGCATCACATTTTCGCGGTGTGTCCAGCCCGGCGGTCGTCAACTTGGCGACACTGCGACTAGTCGCTCGACCTCTTCACCTCTCAATCCTCCGGAACATTCAATCAACCTCGTCCTCGACCTCTACCCGGGATCTTTGCATCTCCTCTCCGCGCTTAGATACATTCTTCCTGCCGCGAGACTTCACACTCCGGTCCGCCGTCTCAATCCCGAGCTTGCTAAACAGCTAGCATCCGATCAGATCCCGCCGATATGAGTGTACGCAGCGCGTTCCTATCCCACCAAGCCCTTCCCTTTTATTCGAAAAAAGAGCCAGTGTTAGTGGACGGCAATGCTAACTCTGATTTCCGCAGTTCAACCCCGTCAACCCCCGCCCTTTCCTCCAAGCTAGGTATGCGAGTCCCCGTCGACCGGATTTACGTCTCGAGCTACCCCCCCACTACCTCTTCGCATCAGCCGCGCAACCTTTTTCCTCTCTCATGTCGAAGGAATCCCCACTTGAGTCACGCAGGATCTAATCATTTTGTTTCTGCCACACAGGGTCGGCGAGGAGGTCGTCATCCGCCTGAAATGGGGCCAAACGGAGTACAAGGGCAAGCTGGAGAGCATCGACTCGTACATGAACGTGCTGCTGCGGGATACGGAAGAGTTCATTGACGGCAAGAACACGGGAACTCTGGGTCTTGTGCTGATCAGGTGCGTATCAGTTGGGTGCTACTTGGGCGCGGGAGGGTCGATCTTCCAGAGGGAGACACCCTCGGGGCCCAAACCAACCCAGCCCAGATTAGTCCTCTTCTCCGACAGTCGCTGACCTTCTGTCCCTCAATCTAGATGCAACAACATCCTCTGGATGGGCTCCGCCGACAACGTTGAGATGACGGACCTTGGCCTACGGTAAAAAAAATAGACGCGGAAGGCGGTGTTTTTTCTCTCATCCATCCATTCGAATCCCGTTGATACCTACCTACCTACCTACCTACCCTACCATAGCGAGTAAGGAAGGGGAGAACGCGATCCGATCCTTTTCTTTTTTGAGCTATCGTATACCAAAATCGAAAGATCTTCATCCGATGGGAACAAGGCACCAAAACTATGCACCCGTCTTGACGCAGACCACAGACAAAAGACGTTGATGGGCTTCGGGAGGAAGGGTAAGGAGAGGGATCAAAGGGTTGATTGCGTGGAGGCTCGCCGGTTGGATGGGTGTTGAAAGAAGCGAAGGGGAGTTGCACCCAATACTTTGCATTTGACTTTATTTTCTCTTTTCTATTTGTCTTCTGGAATAAGGCGTTCGATTGAATATCATTTTCCTCTTTCGATGGTGAATTGTTCTGAGGTCAGTTTGTGGGCTTTCTAGGGCACGAGATTGTGCGGGGCTTTGCTGATGGGCTTGATGGCTTGTCTGATGTCTGGCTTTGGAAGGTTGAGGCATGGGATGGTCTTTTGTGTGAGTAGTGAGGATGACTTTGACTATTGTTTTGGTTATGAGTGGTTGTTTCAGCTACTGTAGCTCTTGTTGTTTCTGTTGCCTTGACAGGTTCGAGACCAGAGCAGATAAAGCAGCCAAGTCGATTGTGATCCTCATGCTTTAGCTTGGTTAAGTGCATGCCATACGTGCCTGTAGTTCACACTATGGCTCTAATGATTTGCAGTGAACCCCGAGCAGTCGCAGCTGACACAAGACGTTATCTACAACACAGCATACTCGTACTCTACTGCTCCACTATGTATAGACTCACATCAATGGTCCTAAGCTTCGATAAGCAGTTGTTCTGAATGATTAGACGTACCCATTGGTGAGCGGATATTTAAGTAGACTTATGCTTTGCTACGAGCACGATAACCGTATAGTAAAAGAGAGACCAGCATCTGGGTCTCAAAGATTTGGTACGTTGGCGAGGATGAGCTTTGCAGACCGATTAGTATCTCCAGTCAGGGATAGTTCTCGAAGTGCTGAGGTGAAGTTCATCTGACTTAGCCTCGCAGGCCCCGAGCCTCTTTCCACCCTTGCATGATGCTTATATATACCATACTGAAAATAAGATTGCAAGAAGAATAATTCACCGTCATCTGAAGCAGGTCTATCGGTCGTCGGCCTGAAACATTTGTGCTTCATGGACATAAATCAGCTTCTTAGTACCTAAAGGTCTGCGTTGACTTCATTCAAGTCCCGATGCACTTTAGTATAATGCATTCGAGATCGGTGGTACCGTACACAGGGCGGCCAAACGAGGGGCAGAATGCGACTTCTCCCCGCATCGGCTCTTCTTCGGGATCTTCTTCTTGATACTCCCCTTCAGCTTCACAAACTTTCCCAGCCTGACAACATCGCCAGTATGAAGAATAGCGCGAACAGAGAAAAGACCAGAGCCCCTTGTCTCTCCTCGAAGTGACACGTTACCCCCCTCCATTCGCATCACTCTCTTCATCCCCCGCGCCCGGTGGGAAGCCTGTGCTCATCACGACTCACTCCACCGAGCCTTCCCTGGCGTCCTGCGGTGGCGACCGCGGATAGAAACCCCTCGGGTAATTTAGAACCACCGCGAGGTTCGAGCCCCTTCTCGCTGAGCGCGGGTTACCGATATTCGAACAGCCTCGTCTCGGTTGTCCTACTCGCTTTGGAAAGGGGGTCTCTTCAGGCACTGGCAAAAGTCCCGTCCATCTCAGCAAGGCCGTCATCATCATGCATGAATTGCGCAGCGGGAGCTCCGCAGCAGGAGCAACAGCGTCCCGTCTTGTGTTTCGTGGCCGCAAATGACGACTCTGTGCGCCTTCATGCACAAGAAGAGAGAGAGAGAGCCTTTTACGGAACTCTTCTCGATCACTGGAACCATGGATGAAGCAGGTCAACCGATCCCCCATGACGATCCACAGAACCCTTCCCCTCCGCCCTTTCCGCTCGCAGGCCCGCCATGGATCTACTGGTTTCATCTCCATATGGTAAAGTTTGAAGAGATTGTGGAAACTCCACGAGAAAAAAAAAATAAAAACGGGGGGAAAAATTCAATCACCGCCGCTATGTTTCTTAGGTTATCAGCGTAGCGGCGACCTCCTTTTTAAATGGCCCAGGCCTCCGGTGGGCTGTCTCTTATCGCTGCTTCGTGCCAGACTGGGGTGTGTGTGCTCTGCTCTTAGCATAGCAATTGATTTTGCTCGCTCATCATGACTCTTGCACTTCCGAATGATATACTCCTCCTGATTGGGGAGTTTGTGGAAGATCGCCGGGACCGCTACAATCTCCTCTTTGTGTCTCGTCAATTCCATGAGTTGTTTCGACGCTTGCTTTATCGAGATGCTAGCCTGAAGAGCTGCGCTCAACTACGTTCTTTTCTAGGGGGGCTGCTCCGTCGTCCCGAGCTGGCTCGGGCTGTTCGCTCATTGGACTTTCATGAATGGCAGTCCCGAACGACGTGCTCTTCTACTCTGTTTCCCGATACTGATTTAACACCCTTCACGAATTTGACGGGAGGCTTCAGCCATTCCGAAGAAGAACAAGAACGATGGTCTCAGGATCTCTCGAACGGAGTCGAGGAAGCCTGGATTGCGCTTCTTCTGCCCCTGGTGGGTAACCTCAGACACCTTCAACTGGTCTATCCGAAGAACAACATCTACTTGGATCGCTTGGTCCAGAGAGCTGTGAAGGGAGGGAGGCCATTCCACACTCAACCCGCCTTCCGTATGCTGCGACATGTCTCTTTAAGCCATCTGCCCGATGACGAGGATAGCCGCGGGAGCTTTACGCCCTCGCAAGTCCTCCCATTCTTTCAACTCCCATCGATGCGGACGTTTACCGCCGACTCCGTTGTTGAAACCGCGCAGGCAGAAGAAAGCGAGTCGGAGACTGCAGACTCTGAGAATGAACCTGTAGTCGGCTCCTCATCTATCTTAGAGATCACTCTCCGCACGAGCAGTGGCTCCAAGGGCATGGAGAGCCTGGTCGCCTCCTGCTCTTCTCTGAAGTCGTTCAAGTACCAGCACTCTGACTCACATCTTCTGTCCGAGGGCTACCGACCTTCCTCTTTCCACCGGTCGCTGGATACGAGCAAACATTGTTTGCAAAGTCTGTGGCTTGACAATGGGGGCACCCATCTGCCCTTCACCGTCGCTGGGGCAAACCAGACACATGACGAATGGTTTGGTCCTTTGACCGAGTACACCTCGCTCAAGGAACTCCGCATCCGTCTGCCCAATCTGCTCGACATCCGCTACCAGCTGGACCCATCATGTCCACTTACCGATATCCTCCCGCCATCCCTGGAAGCCTTGTATGTGGAGGGATGCAAGGAGAATTCGCTAACCATGCTGGTGGGACAGCTAAAGTCGGTCCTCCAGAAACGCAAGACCCAAACCCAATTCACTAGCCTGAAGCGACTCGATATCGAGGGGTTTTTCCACGATGAGGAGGATGAAGAGGCGTCTGGCTACGAGGCGTCCGACTCCATGAGCGAGCGATTCATCCGCCCACGGGTGTATGAGTGGACTGAGCCGCTACGCGAGGCCTGCGTCGATGTCGGAATCGACCTGTACCTTCGCGACCGCGACTGCTTGGAGACGATGCGAGAATGTTAGTGATGACGTCACCACCTGTTGATATGCGACCGATACACCATTAGATTGCATTGTTTCGATGAATACCCTATAGATGTTGCTTTGGATTTTTTTGCTTTTCGGGTTTACTTTCTGACAGTTGATTTGAGCTTGGATTTCTTTTAGCGCTGTTTTCGAAGCTTGTGAAAGTCATAATGTGATTGATACCTTGGAATGATTGGAATGAAAGAACGCTTAGATGGTCAAACCGAGCCTTGTGCTCCGGCAACTGGACCACGAATTTACTTCCACTTTCACTATCTACTTTATATATAAATATAGACCTTTTTGAGAAGAATTTTGGATGACATTTTCTGTACGATTCGCCCGCCGACTGACAAGCTCGCCAAGACGGGATTGTCCTTGAAGATGAAGCCGATCGTGTTGCTGCTGAAGGGAAAGCCACCTGCCGATCTTCTGCCAGAAAACTCCGCGATCCCGCGTTCAATTGATCTTTCGCGCTGTTCGGATACATTGACAGAACCTCACTCATCCACCGACTCGGCTTCCCGGCTAACGCGTATGGCCTCCTTGACTGAAGAAAATCATGGCTATTCGAGGGAAACAATCGAGTGATAGACATACAATTGTTAGGCAGGCCAGATTCTCTCAACGCTCCAGGTACGTCGATCAAAGTTGCTCAAGAACCGGGCGCGGATACTGATAAAATCAGAATTGGATAAGGAGATAGCCTCTTATCAGCGAGCGGAGCTCTTCTCCCATGATTCATAAACACCCGACGCAGAGCATAACCCCGATCGCTGGGATATACTCCGTACTGGTTCATCCGCAGACCAACGTGGCTATGATGCAGCGAGTCCGCGTTCTGGAACAAGCCCAGGTCGGATAACCGGCACTCCACAGCCTCGACCGCTGATGAATCAGCAATTCGATTCACAACACCACTCAGGCACTGCACCTGGGGGGTACCTGAATGATGTCAAAGCCGGGTCATTACCAACATGTGTTTACCCGGTTGACACTGCTCCCCTCACCCACCGTCGCGTGGTGGCTTTGTTCGGTGTCAACCTAGGAGCAGGCCGTTGCTTGCCACCCGCATCCGATACCCGATTCGTTATGACGTTTCTCTGCCTGCCCCTCCAACAGGGCATACAATCCTGGGAGATGCCTTTACATCATGAGGGAGTGGGTGTGTACTTAAGAATGAAAGGCGAGACACACACATCATGCAACACATCTTACTCTTTCAGGCGACATCGCTGCAGCACTGGCCATGGTGGAGAGAAACACAACCGCACACGCAAACGCACAGACCTACTCCCCGTCCCCGGACCTGTCGGAGCAGTCGGAGCATCGGCCGAGCCACTCGAGCGCGTCCAGTACAGTGGTGCATGATGATGTCGAGAAGCAGAATGTAGACCCTTCGTCCGAGGAGGGGAAAGATCCCAATATCGTGGACTGGGATGGCCCGGACGATCCGGTATGTTTACTGCCTTGTCTTGTGTCGAAGCGTCCTGTAGAAAGTGACCAACAAATTCATTAGGAATATCCCCCAAACTGGTCGGAACTCCGCAAATGGACGATCACGATAATTCTGGGGTTGATGACCGTCTCCGTGACATTCGCCTCGTCCGTCTTCAGCGCCGCGGCGGCGGTCACGGCGGAGCAATTCGGGGTGTCGGAGGAAGTGATGATCTTGGGGACGAGCCTCTTCGTGCTGGGGTACAGCTTCGGGCCGCTGGCCTTCGGCCCGCTGTCCGAACTGTACGGACGCAAAACCCCGCTGTTCGTGGGCTTCTTCATCTTCGCCATCTTCCAGATCCCCGTGGCGGTCGCCCAGAACCTGCAGACAATCTTCGTGTGCCGATTCTTTGGGGGGTTGTTCGCCAGCGCCCCGCTGGCCATCGTGGGCGGCATGCTGGCGGACTTCTTTGACCCCGTAGAACGCGGCATCGCCATGGCCGTCTTCGCGGGCAGCACCTTCGTCGGCCCCGTGGCGGGCCCCATCGTCGGCGGGTTCATCACGATGTCGTATCTGGGCTGGCGCTGGACCGAGTACATCACCGCGATCATGGCCTTCTTTTTTGGGGCGCTGGGGTTTCTCGTGGTGCCCGAGACCTTTGCGCCGGTGCTGCTGCAGCGCCGTGCGCGGCGGCGGCGCTACGCCACGCGCAACTGGGCGCTCCATGCGCGCTCCGAGGAGGAACCTGTCGACCTGAAGAACATCGCGCACCGGTACCTCGTGCGGCCGATCCACATGCTCTTCCTCGAGCCGATCCTGCTGCTGATCACCCTGTACATGGGCTTCATCTATGGGTTCCTGTATCTGTGCTTCGAGGCCTACCCGATCGCCTTCCAGGAGATGCGCGGGTGGAATGAGGGGGTCGGGGCTTTGCCGTTTGTCGCGGTGACGTGTGGAGTTCTGGTGGGTTGCGGGATTATCATCACCTTCACGAAGACGCGGTTCCAGGCCGTGCTCCGCCGTGAGGGGCATATCGTCCCCGAGGAGCGGCTGATTCCCATGATGATCGGCGGGGTGTTGTTGCCGGCGGGGATGTTTTGGTTCGGGTGGACGTCCAATCCGTCTATCTCCTGGGTGCCCCAGGCCATCTCGGGGGGTTTCCTGGGAGCGGGGATCTTGTTGATTTTCATGCAGGTAAGTTATGCTGCAGACACAAACGCCGAGGGCGAGTCTGGCTACATGGTCACACCAGTACATCTGTCTCGTTCTTGGCCTTTGGTATGCTCCTCAAGTAGCTAATGACATGCATCTGGTAGGGGTTGAATTATATCATCGACTGCTATGGCGTCAACTCCAACTCGGCCATCGCAGCCAACTGCTTTTTCCGGTCGGGGCTCGGGGCGGGGTTTCCCATGTTCGCGTTGCCCATGGTACGTTATGTTTGTACTTCTGATTGAGAACCACGCTGACCTGGGTACAGTTTCACAACCTTGGGGTGAACTGGGCGATGACACTGCTGGGATGCTTGACGGCCATTTTGTTTCCGGTGCCGATCCTGTTCTATGTGTTTGGGAAGCGGATCCGGTCGTGGAGCCGGTTTAGTCCGAGTGAAGAGTAGACTTCGTGGTCTGCTGGTAGGGTTGGTGGGGGCGAATTCTTGTATATACCAGCTGGAATGTGCACATAGGGTATTTTGACGAGATCATGATTGATTTTCTTGTCTGTCAGATCTTCTGTGATTCTCCCGAGACAGAGCATCTGTCTTTGATCCTGCTTTCCGCTGTATGCTCACTCGGTAGGGCATCTGTTTATAGCATCGGAATGTTCATTCTTCGGATGGGCGATATCTTAGTCAATATCTGTAGAAGTCGTGCATCCATTACATTCAAGGCGGCTTGCGCAGTGCTCTCCACAGGCTGCGTGTCGTACAATTCAGGGCATGACAAGAAAACCTCTGGCAGCATTATAGCCATCCGCCTTCATCCAGCATTCCAAAACCACCCCAAAAAATACGAGCCCAGCAGTATAGTATCATCGATGCGTCGCCGGCAACTCCACCGGTTCCACCAGGCCCCTTGCCCCCCTCCCCTCCAACTCATGGGTATAAGTAACATCCGCCTGCCCAATCTCCACAGGCACTTTCCTCGACTGCCCAATCTCGACCGCAAACTGTTGTTGTTGTTGCTGTCCTCCAGGAGTAGCAGCCGCCATCTCGCCGGGGCCATTCCCCTGGCTCCTCGCATCTTGCACCTGACCCAGGGAACCCCCATCCCCATCCCCATCCCCCTTAACCGGCACAACAGCCGTATACCTCCCTCTCCTCCTCCTCCTCAAGAACCACACCACGAACGCCAACACAACAAGCAACCCCCCCACCGCCACCCCAACACTAATCCCCGCAATAGCCCCCTTCCCCAACCCATTTTCCCGGGTATCACACCGCCCAAACTCAGGCTGACAACCCACGCCACAATAACTAGCATTCCCACCACACCAGCCATGGCCGGAGCAACAATCCCCCCACTCACTCCCCACACAGGTAATCTCCCTGCTGCACGATCCATCCGTCGAAACCGCCTGCATCGCTGTACCTGTTGCTGTTGCTGTTGCTGTTGCTGTTGCTGTTGCCGCGGTACCCGTCCCTACCCTCGTCGTCGACTCCGCCCCCTCATCATCATCATCAGAAGCACAACTCCCAAACAGCGACTGGCACCCCACCCCGCAGTAACTACTGTTCCCGCCGCAGTACCCCAGCCGGGAACAGCAGTCGCCGTACTCACTGCCCAGACACGTGGTGTTGCTGGTGGCCGTCTCGCCGCAGGAGCCCGTCGTGCTGATCGTCTGCGCCGACCCGGCCGTGTTGCATTTGCCCCACCCCGGCTGGCAGCCGGCGCCGCAGTAGCTGTCGGTCGAGCCGCAGTAGCCCTTGGCCGAGCAGCAGTTGCCGAAGGGGGAGGTCAGGCACGTCGCGTTCGTGGCGCTGTTGAGGGCGCTGCAGTTGCCGTCGGTGCTGGGGGGGTTCATTTCTGGGGTGGTCCGGGGGGAGGGGGGTGTTTTCTGGGTGGGGAAGGGGAGCTGAGGAGGCCCCCGGGGTGGTTAGGGTTTTGTTTGGTTGGGTGGTAGGGTGGTTGTTAGGGTTGGGGGGGTAGGGTCGTGGAGACCCTACGGGGGTTTTAATTGACTAGAGTGACTCGATGGCTGTTAGGAGAGCATCACACTGAGATCTTGGAGGAACACAAATAGAGAGAGAAAACTGTAGTGAAAGGTTCACTGGTAAAGAGGAAATGGTAAGTGGAGGAGATATGGGGGGAGGGGGGGGGGGGGGGGCACTTAAGGGGATCGGGGTCAGGGATTTAAGGGTCTTCGACCCATTCCCTATTCTCAGGGTTCTCCTATATCTCCAGCTGTTATTCCCTACCTAAGTACTAAGTAGAACCCCCGGCCTGAAGATACGTTAGCGCTGTCCAGCCCGCTGCCCATGTGGTTGTGCTACACCCGAGAGTACAGTCGAGCCTATCAACTAGCCCCAGCAACGCCAAGGCCAAGCCAAGCGCCAAGTAAGACATGCCCAGCTCACATTTTGGGGGCCAGGATTCCGGCCACGATTGAGAATTTAGACTCCCTCCCGCGTGGACACTGAGACAGTCTGACAGTTTTTCTTGCCCGGGGATGGCTGAAACCCGTTCGAGATTTACCCGTCCGACCAGTCATCTGACGTTGTGGGCTTCGATCTATCCAATATGCCGCTGGTTTGGGCGAGTTTGGACCCGATGGCTGTGCTTGAGGGGTCGGGGTCAGGGTCAGGGTCAGGGCTAAAGCTATTGTTGCGGAGCGGGCGGCGCGTGGGCCTGGGCAGATTTTAGATTAAGGAGGGTCCACCAGGTTTGATTTGGTGTTCAATTTGGTGTTCGAGTTGTTGTGCTGGTTGTCAGTGTGTTACAGCAGGGATTTGGGTGGTTTGATTGGGTTAGTCAGGGGTATTAATGAGGGGTTGATTGTTGTTGCGCAGTGGTCATCGAGGCTAGTAAGTTGGGGTAAGCTGAGTATGAATCTACTATGGTTGTCACATGATTACATTGCTTCGAAGCGCTGCGTCTTCCCAGTTTTCACATGGTTGAGAACGATGGTGATGGTCTATCCACTCTATGATATACGTGTCTATGTACTTTTCCCTCACAAGGCCTGGCAGGCCTGGCTATGGCGAGTGATCTCATGCCCCCGACCATCACCGCCGCCCATCTCCCTTGCGCGCCTCCTGCGGCTCCGGCAGGGCTCGCGCGGCGACCGACAGCCCCAGCGCCAGCACGACCATCAGCCCCCAGATCGCGTACCCGCCCAGCCACTGCGACCGGGCCCCCAGCGCAAACAGCGTGGTGAACAGCGCCGGGTTGAACGCGCGCAGCCCGCTGACGCCCGTCAGCGCCAGGGCGTTCAGGGTCCCCAGCACGCGCGGGGACGGGGCGATGTCGTTCAGCGCGAGCTGGATCGCGGTGAAGCTCATGCTGACGCCGCAGCCCAGCACCAGGGTGATGGGCACAAAGACCCAGAACACCGTGACGGCCGCCTCGGTGCCCGCGCGCAGGAGCACGTTGCCCGCCGGGCAGGCCAGGAAGAAGAACGGGTAGGCGTAGGCGCACCGCCGGATCACCCCGTTGGAGCCGAGGCGCTTCTGCAGCGGCGGGAAGACCAGCAGCAGCCAGGCCGCCTGCGCGGCCCCGTTCAGCCCCATCAGCAGCGAGATCTGGCGCGGCGTGAAGCCGTACCCGCCCAGCGCGGGCGGCGTGAACCAGAAGACCGGGACGATCGCCGTGTACGCAAACGCCAGCACCATGATGTGGCCGTACGTGTAGATCACCATCCCCACCCCGGGCGCCTTCAGGAGGTCCCACGTCGAGAGCTCCGCGCGGATGAGGGCGCTGCCGGCCGACTCGCCCGCTTCTTCCTCCTCGTCGCTGCGGGTGGAGACGGAGGGTTGCTTTGGCAGGGTTTCTTGCACGAAGAGCGCGCTGGAGATCGCCGCCGTCGCGCCGACCATCGCCACCACCAGGCTCGACAGCGCGTACGGGTACTCGGCGAAGAAGCGGACCGACCCGAAGATCCCCGGGTACTGGCGGCCGGGATCGGCCAGGCTCCCGCCGAGCAGGGGCCCCAGGAAGATGCCCAGGTTGCCGCTGAAGGCGAACCAGCTGAAGGCGCGGGCTTGCGTCTTGCTCGTGCTGTGCTCCGCCACCATCGTGCGGATGGTCACGATGGTGCCCGCGAAGACGCCCGCCAGGCACCGGAAGAGGATCATCTGCGGGATCGTCTGGGCCAACCCGAAGAGGCCCGTCGCGATCGTCACTCCGAACAGCGAGAAGACCAGCACGGGTTTCCGGCCGAAGCGGTCGGCCGCCCGCCCCCAGAAGATCATGATGATGGCCTGCGTGAGCGAGAAGAGGGACTCGATGAGCCCGCTGTAGAAGCCGACGTCGGCGTCGGCCACGCCCCCGTTGTCTTGCACCATTTGGCTGACATAGGGGAAGATGGAGAAAAAGGCGAGCGGCTCGATGACCCGGGCGTAGCACAGCAGGAGAATCTGGAGCTTGGGCAAAGGCTTATCTTCCTCTTGGTCCGGCTCGGCGTCGGTAGGCCTGCTGCTGGGCGCGAGAAGAGCCGTGGTCTCATCCACGGGGTCCTCTCTTTCCGTGTCATGATGATTCCCGGCCCGCCGGATGGACCGGGGAGAAGATGGTGTTGTGGCGACCATCGAAAGACGGATCTGATTCGGATGTTGATTATGCTTATGGGTTTTGGTTGTGAAGAGAGAATTAGTTATTATTGTTGGGTTGCCAGAATGCAAGGATGGCCGGGTGGGCGGTTAATCCGGTCCGACAACGGAGATAAGCGGTGGACAATCGGCGATTGCTGATAAGCGATAAGCGATGAGCGATGAGCGATAAGCGATAAACGATGAGTTGTAGAGTATAAGTAAGCTACAAGTGAAATTTACTGGATCTCCTGCTAGAGTGAGCAGAACAAGGTAAGAGCTGTGCCTTTACTCACATAGACTTGCACCTAGAACCGGCATCGGCTTCCTTAGCACCAGCCCCATTAGAACCAGCCCCATTAGAACCAGCCCCATTAGAACCAGCCCCATTAGAACCAGCCCCATTAGAACCAGCCCCATTAGAACCAGCCCCATTGGCACCAGCCGCAGCAGCCGCCGCCGCCGCCGCAGCTTTCATTGCAGCCCTACGCTTGCACAACTCCTGAATCCAGTCCCGGAACTCCGCACCATTACTCCTATAGTAGGCGGCACTAAGGTCCGGGCCGTGGGGAAGAGGCAGTGGTAGCTCCCCCCTGGGCACTTTGGCGCCGTGAAGCACCACGTCGACATCGGTCGTCGCCAAGGACGGATCGTTCTCGACCCCCTGGACCCACTGGCTGATGAGCGGCCTGTCGGCGATCCAGTCGAAGGCCTTGCGGCCGTGAAGCTCGTACTGGTAGATGGTGCGCGGCGGCTCTTCCTGGGAGGGGAACTTGGGATCCGCGAGGGGCGGCAGCAGCGGGGGCACCTCGCCGGCCCCCTCGCGGTACAGCCGGATCTCGTTCCCGGTGCGGATGACGCCGTACGCGGGCTTGGACGTCTCGAAGGTCCGATGCACCGCCGGCAGCCCGAGCCAGACCAGCATCCACAGGCACTCGGCCTCCCAGCTTTCGGCCGGGAGCTGGAGCTTCTCCGGGACGAGGTACTTGACGATCGCGCCCACGTGCTCGGTCTGGCAGCCGAAGCCCAGCAGCGACCACATGGCGTGCGAGAACCTTTCCGGCTTCCCGTGGGCGGAGTAGGGGATGTCCGGGCCCACGCTGATGGGTGTGAGCGTCCAGCCCTCGGGGAGGGTTGAGGCCTCCGGTGGGGTGCTCATTGCGGTTGTGTGTGGTTTGCTCGGTTTCGGTGGATTTGGGAAGTGAGTGTGGTGTATGTGGAGTCTCAGTCGCTGGTACTGAGACGGATTTTGTGGGAATGGGGAGGGATGGGAGGCTGCTTGAGGTCTACTTATACACTTGCTGATGGCTACTATGCTTGGGTCTGGAGGGTTGGATCTGTTGGGACTTCCTGTATACAACAAAGCAATTGGACACACTGAGTATATCCCAAGGACTGCACCTTTGTTGACAGTGTTGATCTTGAGGAAGTACTTCTAGTAAACAAAGGACGGTTTTCGTCTACCTTTCAGCAGGCATGATCTCTTTATGTGCCACTAACTTCGGTTTCCAGCATCATCACAGCTTTGACGTAGAATTACATACATGATCTTAGCCGCGATGAGTCCTTTTCCAGCTTTCAGGACCAGGATGCAGACCCTGCACAACGTCTGGAACAGTCACTCCAGATAAATCAGTCTGCGCTCATTGACTAAGTGGAAGTGACGATCGCTACGTTCATCTCAATACAGCTGGCTCCGCTAGGGCCGTATAAAAACTGTGACAATCCTAAGGAGTAAACTATTCCATCTGGAAGATGCCCATTTCTATCATGTATACATTCCATTGACTATCCGCGGATCTACCCGTGATAATATCTACTGTTGTTTGTTGAATGAAAACGGCCCCACGAAACAACCCAAAAGAGAACAAAGAGCAGATGACTCCCCAATACAAAATGTAAGCATTTGCGATCTGACATGGGTGCCTTACTATTCGAAGGCATCAATGGAATCCATCGTCGGCTCATCATGAAGACAAAGCCTGCTCAGGGAATGCAACTGTTGTTTGGTCCAATGATCTCTAGACCTCTGCAAACTATCCAGTCGCACAACGCTGCTATGTCAGCATCTATGCAGCATTGCATTGATCTCAAGCGCAGGGCTGGAAGCCCTAACGAGCGCGGGAACAAAATCTTGTCTACACAGTACCCGTCTTTGGATTGCACGGACAATGCCCACCTGGAATGCCCATTCAGACTGATAGGATCTTTAACCTGGAACTGCCATAACAATGACTGAGTCGCAAAATGTATTGACAATCAGATTGCAACCCACATAAAATTTGAAAACAGAAAACATAACACTAGCACCTCCACTTCTAAGAAGACCGCATTCAACCCCCCCCAGCCAACACCCAAAACCCCAACAACTCTATCAACCCGGCAACGTCGAAGAAGTATCCACCGTCGACGAATTCGCCAAACTCGCTCCATCCCTGCCCACGGCCTCCACAAACGCCCTCGGATAATACGCCGAACTCGTCAACGTCGTCTGAAACCCTGAGTTCCCCACCGTCCCCAGCATCACTACCTGCTCCGCCGCCGGCGCATAGATATTCCAATGATCCACCTCCGTCGCGCCATTCCAACTCATCCAGAAGGTCGTCGGCCCCGCGTCCGGCGCGGGACTATACACCTTCAGGGCGGGGGGCTCGGCGGGCACGGCGGTCCAATTGGCCTTGTAGGCGCGGTAATTCATAGAACGCTCGTCGGCCACCGCCGCAAAAAACACCGGGGTGCCGTCCTCGAGATGCTCCGAGATGGCCGGGGTGCTGCCCCAGCCGATGAAGGCATTCCCCGAGGCCAGGATCTGGCAGCTGCCCTGGCTCCACGCGCGGATCCCGGGGGGAGCTCCGGGGGCGTCGTAGCGCCGCAGCAAGGTGGACGAGTTGGTGGTGTGGTCGAGGGCGACGATCATGCCCGCCGAGGCGGCGGAGGTGTTGCGGTAGTTGTCGCTGCCGTTGTCGAAGAGGGAGAGGATGGTGGTGGTGGCGTTCTCGGCGAGGAAGCGCGCGTCGTGCTGCGCGGAGAAGTTGTAGTTGGTCTGCGTGAAGGTGGACTGCCGGCCGCCCAGGCGCCAGAGGACGGCGCCCGTGGCGCCCGAGAGCTTGTAGATGGCGCTGGTGTGCCGCGCCGAGATGAGGTAGTCGCCCGCCCCGTTCTTGTCGATCGAGTTCAGGTGGAAGTAGTCCCACGCCGTCGCGTTGCTGGTCCCGTTGCCGACCACCGGGTTCAGGCCCGGCGGCGTGTAGGACTCCCCCGGGAGGATCTGCTGGTCCATGCTGCTCCATTGGAAGCGCACGGCGCCCGTGGAGATCTCGATCTCTTGGAAGACCCCGTCGATCACCCACCCGGGGTCGGCGGTCACGTTGTACGCGCTGAGGTTGGCCGTGCGCGGCTGGTAGATGGGGACCAGCATGCTCGTGCCGTTGATCACGGCCGATTCGTGCATGTCGCTCATCTCGAGCCCGTTGCCGCTGCGCACCGTCGCTGCCGGGCTGTAGCTGCTGTCCAGGATCTCGTGCTGGCCCCGCGCGTACCCGCCGATCTGCGTGCCTTGGAAGTAGCACAGGTGGTCGGTTCCGTTGTATGCGCAGGCGTGCAGGTCTTGGAAGATGTCGGTGGCGGAGCCGTCGGCGCCGCTCCAGATCAGGTTCTGCTGGCGTTAGGGCTGGGCTGGGCTGGGCTGGGGGTGAAAGACGGGGGAATGCGCAGAATCATACGGCATTGGTGTCGTAGATGTAAGGCCCCGGTACATCGCCAAAGTACGGGGCGATAAAGATGTACCCTGGCGTAATGAGGCTGTCATTCTTGAGGCTGATCTGGAGGATCGGAGCGCGGATGTCTGGTCGCTGCGTACTCGACCAGGTGGTTAGCAAGGGGGTGCAGGGGGGCTACTGGAGCTAGAGGCAACTGACAGATTGGTAGGATGCCCAGTTGGCACAATCTGCCAGACTAGTAAATGCTAGGAGGGTCCCTATTTCTAGAGTCTTCTTCCAATTGGTGCCCATGGTGAGGGGTGCTGTACAAACCCACTACCTATGCTCTCGTGCGGAACCATGCAAAGAGACTGCAGAGATTGGCCCGCACACGGCACTGAGAAGGATTATATGGAACCCATGGTGGAAGCCCCAGTAGATGTCGCGCATCGTGTGCGTCTTGGCAGCGAGTCAGGAATGGCCGTGGATTACATCAAGACTATTGAGAATTGAGTTCTAGCAACGGCTACGCCCCGCTATGATACGGGCCATAGATCACGGCGTCTACGAGAGATAGTTTGCTGGAATTGCTGTAAGTCAGGCATGCGCGTGACCAGGGTGGCAGAGCTTAGAAAAGGACGAATATCAAGTGATGCTAATCTTCTGCAATCTCAGGTCTCTGGGGTCCCTTTTCGAAGATACTAAGACTTCTGGCTATATCGAGCCAAAGTGCTCCCCTCCCCCCAAAATCGGAACCTACGGGGAGTGTGGAGGGGAAACCAGCAAGGTTTGTGCTTCGTACAAGTGAGCCTATGACAAATAAGCTATTAAGTAATAGACTGCAATTCCAGTATATAGTGCGGCTGTCAAACCCACGGTTCCACCCTCTTCATGCGAAGGGGTTCCGAGATTCGATTTCCGCATCCGGCGATCTGCGACGAGGGCTAGATCTCCCCACCGATTGCACTTCCTACACGGCACACGCAATGGTTGGTGAAGAACTCAGCCAGCTCACTAGTGAGGTGTCAGAGACTCCCTGACGTGTGATCGTTGTTAGTGGGAAATCCGGGAGTGTCCGTCTCATCTATCAGCTGCGTGGGGGGTGCTGCACGCCACATACTATTCGACACCGCATCGCTAGGTCGAGGACGCACAGTGGATCCTCTGCGTCAGCTTGGACAACGAGAATTTATTAGCTGTATCACTCATTGGATGTAGAGCCAATGTTGCAGTTCAACGCGGTTTGCAAAGTTGTCAAGCGCAAGCACTGTTTACCGCATTGGGACGTCTGAGGTATGGCATGCACATTCCTGAGCACCACGCTAGAGAACTCTTTTCCTGGAATGCTCCAGAGACCCAGTAAAATCGGTCTCGATCTGAAGACAGTCTTTCAATGTAGCACGATGGAAAAAGGATAAGAAGAATGGGTAGCGCGTCTTGGCTACGGGGCTGCCATTTGAGCATCACGAAGGGCACGACCATTTATTAGAAGAGTAACAAGGGATAGCCATCGCCTCTCTGCCTCACTTCTTCGTGCCTTGATCCGTCCTACGATCCGCACTCATTCTCTCCTGCAACAGCGCGAGAAATGGCCCCAAGCAACGATGCCCACCACCTGGGCCCGCCCAAGCCCGCAGACCGGGTGCTCCTGATCACCTATCCCCGGACGGCCTCGAACCTCCTCGTCAGGATGCTCTCGCTACCGGATCAGCCCAACGTCGTCTCCAACGAGCGGGGCGGCTACTTCTTCTGGGACGCCTTCATGAACGAGCGCGACACGGTCTGCAGCCGCCGGCCCGTCGAGCAGTGGGAGCCCTCCGAGACCGCGAACCTGCGGCAGGCCTTCCAGCAGAACCTCGACCACATCGAAGCCAGCTCGCAGGCCGCCCTCACCCAAGGCAAGGTCTTCTTCGCCAAGGAGCACACCCTCTGGCTGGCCGAACCGGCCGCGATGGCCCACTACCTGGCCACAGGCAGCCGCAGCCATCATCCCTCGATGCGACTGGGCGTGCAGGTACCCAAACCATACCTCGATCCCCAACCCGGCAGCGGCAGCGCAGCATTCTCCCCGGAAAATTTCACCATCCTCCCCGACGCATACCTGGCCTCGTGGCGCGCGACCTTCCTCATCCGCCATCCGGCCCTGGTGTTTCCCTCCTTCTACCGCGCCCTGCACGGCCTGGAGAGGGAGAGCTTCTGCGAGCCGCGCATGATCGAGCCGTTCCTGGAGCTGCACGCCACGCTGCGCTGGACGAGGCTGTTGTATGACTGGTACTGTGATCGCGGGAACGCACGGCCTGCGTTGCCGCTGCTCCTCGACGCGCAGGATGTCATTCACCGTCCCGAGGTGGTCGCCAAGTACTGCGAGCTCATCGGCTTGGATCCGGAGAAGGTCCGCCTTCGCTGGAGTCAGTCGGAGCGGCGGTCGGGGGAGGAAGAGGATCCTCGTGCCCGGGCGGAGGCGGTCATGCTCGCGACGCTGGATCATTCCACTTCTCTGCTCAAGGAGAAGACTCCCACGTTCGTGGATGTCGGGGCTGAGAGGGAGAAGTGGGAGCATGAGTTTGGGGCAAGGGTGGCGGAGCAGATGGAGAGGTGGGTCGAGGGTGCCATGCCGGATTATGAGTACCTGTGGATGAGGAGGTTGCGGGTGGATTGATGCTGCATGGAGAGTAGTTGTTTGAGGCAGAATGACACAAGACCCTTATTGAATCTGAGATCAGACTATCTTGTGGTTGAAAGATCTATCTCGAACTAGGATTAACTTGCGTATGAGGCTGGCAAGGTTGTGTTTCTTCCCCAGTTCATCTCCTTATCTCAACTGTTCTGCTTGAAGGCCAAAGTAAAATGGTGCATGTCTCCTAGATCTCCTAGATGGCGCATCGCACACGCGTGCAACCAGATGAAAACATTATGCAGTGCGATGAATTACGTTTGGATCTTTAGGAGCCTATACGCTACGAACAATGATCTTCGCACTGAAACGCAAAGCTGTCATTATATTTTCGAATATAGAGAGAAAACATCAATCAATTGCGACATGAAACATAGCGCAGAAGGTTGCGAGGGAGCAGTCCCATCCCAAAACAAGCACGCAATCCATCAGACTCAGACGCTGCAGGTAGGCAAGCCGCTCTCTGTACGTAGTTAGCACACGTTCCTCTTGATTGGAGAACGCATAGGATCAACGGGCTATCACAAGGGGGCTGGGATGACATACTGCAACCACTGGGAACATTACTTCCGCTAACCCACCAGCCCTTGCCCGTCTTATACCAGTCGCCGTTTCTGCAGAGCGTTTGTGTTAGTACAGCCAGATAAGGGTCATGATTGCTGGGCTGAGAGAGTCGCATCGTACCTCCATTTGCACCGGTAATCGACGTTGGTCTGCGCCTGATAGCTTCCGGTCTGGACTACAGGCCATTGGTAGTAGTTGATCTGCTTGTTGGACTTGCATGACTTTCTGGCCGCGAGGTGGACGTCGATGTCCTCGGAGTCGACGTCGGCTTCTTCGGCGGAGGGCAGGGCCAGGGTCAGGGGGAGCAGTGCGGTTAGGAGGTAGATTGGGGACTTCATGGTGAAGGTATAGGAAGTTGATGTGTATTGGCTGTGAGTAGAGAGGGATTTCTTGTAGTGATGGTGGTGTTGGGTGTGAGATGCTGTGCTCTTCTTGTCTTCTGTGGTTAGGGTTGGTCGAGGCTTTTATACCACACAGGGGCGAAATTCAATACCACTGATTTCTTCAGGACTTGGTGATTCACTTCCCATGGCCTACATTGCTCAGTCTAGATTCCCATCTAACCTGGGTTCCGATGTCTGGTCTATTCGTATCCGCTTTTAGGCATCCGATTGTTCGTATCACGCCCAGTGATCCGGGTCTATGACACGGGAACACAGTCCCTGCTTCAACCCAAAACAGACCACCAAGTACTTAGCACTGCCTCCAAAGAGGTACAGCTCGCAGAGCCCAAGCAAGTGGAAGCAAGGTGACCTTTTGTGGATGGCGGAGAGCTCTCAAGTGCAGAATACGAGTATCCAAGAATAACCCTACCTTTGCACAACTTCCGCGCTAGGTGCTATCTATGCAGCTGAATTAGAAGCAACGCGGAAACTACAAGCGCAGACGAATAGTCCAAATGCAACGCTATGATCTCGCTAGCGAGACTTTACACTCCCTGGGACAATATAATATGTCTCTGAAGTATAGACATCATGATTTGTCTGTTTTGTAAGAGATAGGCGGAAAGGTGTTTATGTTACAGGCTAGTAATCCCAGCTTTTGTTCTCTCAATTTGTCTCAGAAAAGGGCCAAGCTCTACCTCTGTATCTGGAATCCGAGTATACACAAATAGACTTCCATCGAATTAGTAGCAGTTCAAGTGATCTTCGACTCCTACACGCACCGCTGATCATAGATAATAGCACAGCCTTCGAAGAGCACCCATTTTGGTTCATCCTGCTATGAGTTCGAAATCTAGACACGAGTGGTCCGTGTCTTCAGCTCATACCCGTGTTATGAGGTCCCCACATTATCCTGTAAAGCTGGTTCGTTCCACTGTTGTAAATGAACGTCTGTTCCCAGCCAAGATGCCAAGGAGTCCGCCCCGGATGCCCCGGATTCGGCCCAGTCTGGGGCGGTCCAGAATCTCTAGGCCTCGAGCCAAGGACTTCCGTCCAGAGATCACCAGCTACAGTGTCGCATGGAGCTGGATCCTACGGTTCGGAAATTTGAGCCGCTGTCAGTGTCAGTGTCACGGCTCACAGCTCCGGACGGAGCCCCCGCCACTTTACATGTCTACGCATTTTTCTCACGCTTGCAAGATATGTCGGCCATTATCCAAGGAGTGATATGGTATATTCCACAGCTTGGAGATTAGGTCGGGCTAGTTGCCGCTCATGACTCCGTAAGTCATTTGAGGGAGGCACGCTCGATCCTGAATGTTGTTTGAAAAAAAAAAAAAAAAAAAAAAAAAAAACAAAAGGGCATTGACCACGTACGTGAACCAGAAGATAGAACTTTGCAAGGCTCAGATTGTCTAGGGCGTGCCGTTACCGAGATGAAGTGAGGCGGTGGAAATCCAAGTCTCGTGCCGGTATACAAGATGATACCGACGGTCTTCCACATAACGGCATGAAAAAGGGCTTGAGGTACTGTGCTCATACGCCGTGGATGCTGAAATAAGGTCATGTATCTGAGATCCAGAGCAAAAAAATAAGCTCACAAAGAGAGAGCAATCTAGTTGGGGGTCTTCGCCGCACCTTTCCTGCCCTCGAGACGAGGGGGCGGCACCTACAAATACAGACGCCCCTCACCTCAGCCAACGCTAACTTTGGGGGTTCATCGTGAAGAAACCAACAAAGCTTATTGTCCGGCCAACAAAGACCAAGAACCTACAAGCTAAGAAAATACACGTCACGTCAAGTCTTCACACAGCGGTATTGACCGCATGGCTATGCAGTGCTTACGCTGATTACCGTGCCGCAAATCCGATCGTCCGGTGTTCGGGCCACAAACGGGTCGGCTCCGTGGGACATACTCATAGAACCTCGCTTACAGCAACACCTTCAGCCGATGGGGCAGCGACTGAAGAGTTCTACTTAGTACTGGATTATGGATCGTTGCATGCATGTTCAGGAGGGCCGAGGGTCGCTTACGGACAAACTCCTTGCCCCCTTGTTTCAGGGCTAGCAATGCCGTTGAATCTGGCTGACAGGCGGGGGCAACTAGACTATTTCGGGGAGTTTTCCCCGGGCGATCGGCATCCACTACAATCTATCTGAATCGGCGATCGGGTCTCATGCTCCAGACATACGTACGCGATCCGCTCAATGAGGGAACATGTTTAGGGGCACGGGAGAACTGGGGTCGCTTGCTGACTCGTTCGGTAAAGGGATCGAGAAGGGATGGCCAGCACGGCTGATTCATGTTACACGATACATATATCACCTTCCCCAGCATAGAGGTCCTGTCTTCAGAGCGAAGTGCGATCCAAACATGGTTGCTTTAACCTCCCTCCTGCATGTCCTCCCTCTGCTCCTCGCCACGGCACAGGGCCAGCTCGCTGGCCGCGTTGGACCCTTGACGACCGCGGCGGAGAAGAACGCCACCAGAACGTGCAGTGTGCTCGACTACGGTGCCGTTGCAGACAACGCAACAGACGTCGGGCAGCCCATCATCGATGCCTTTGCGGACTGCGGAAGAGGGGGCGTCATCTTCATCCCTCCAGGCGATTATCTCCAAACCACCTGGGTCCACCTCACCAATGGCAGTGCCTTTGCCATCCAGCTAGACGGAATCATCTATCGTGGGGCCGCCCCCTCTTCGCAATCGTACATGTTCGAAATCTCCTCGAGCAGTGACTTCGAAGTTTTCAGCTCAACGTCGCGCGGTGCCATTCAGGGCAGCGGATACCTGTATCATCAGTCAGGTAACTTCGTTGGCCCGCGACTCCTCCACGTCAGTGGGGGATCGGACTGGGCGGTTCATGACCTGGCGCTTGTCGACTCCCCGATGTTCCACTTTGTGATCCAAGGGGCTACTAATGGTGAGGTGTATAATATGGCAATCCGCGGTGGGGATCATGGAGGGCTCGATGGGATTGATGTCAGCGGAACGAATATCTGGATTCATGATGTGGGTGGCTCCAGTATGCTTTGCTGATGGGACAGCATACGCTGACAAGTTGCAATACAGGTCATGGTCACGAACAAGGATGAATGTGTCACAGTCATGGTAGGAGGCCCCACCATCCTGGTAGTACAGTGTATCAAGCGACTAATGTTGCATCTTTCACAGACCGGGTCGAAGAATATCCTCGTCGAGAGCATTTACTGCAACAGTAGTGGAGGGTGTGCCATGGGGTCCCTGGGCGCCGGTACCAACGTCAGCGACGTCACCTACCGGAACGTCTACACATGGTCATCCAACCAGATGTTCATGATCAAGAGCAACGGAGGATCCGGGACTGTGTCGAACGTTCTCTTTGAGAACTTCATGGGTAAGTTTGCCTTGTCTTACAGGGCTGATGCCCTAGCCCTAGCCCTGAGACGGAGACCTAATATCGATCCCCAACCTTTCTAGGCCATGGAAACGCCTACAGCTTAGATTTTGACACAGCCTGGAGCAGCATGTCCACGATCGAAGGGGACGGCATCGCATACAGCAACATCACATTCCGCAACTGGAAAGGCACCGAGGTTGACGGCGAGGACCGTCCGCTCATTAAGGTCAAATGCCCCGCCCTGACGCCCTGCACAGATGTAACGATCGAGGAATTCGCCCTCTGGAACGAGGAAGGCCACTACGCACTGCACGTCTGCGAGCACTCGTACGGCTCGGGCTATTGCCTTTCCAACGCGACCGTCCCAGTCACTGGCACCGCGGGAGGCTACACCACGACGCAGTACATCAACACGCCCCCGGCGGGCTACTCGGCCACCACGATGGCCGAGGACCTTGCGACGGCATTTGGCACCTCTGCCTCCATTCCGATTCCAACGATCCCCACTTCGTTCTACCCGGGTTTGACGCCGTATAGTCCCCTTGCGGGGGCTTCTGCCTTCCCTTCGAGTAGTGCCTACGCCTCGAGTAGTGCCTACGCCTCAAGTAGTGCGCTGCCGTCCTACAGAAGGAACGCGACGGCATCGTTGAGACCCTCTACTCCGCCTCGATTGTCGATTGCGGCGTACCAGACGCCGACTTCTTCTTCGGTGGTTTCGCCGTCCTCAGAGCCACCATCTGCGTGTTATTTCGCCACAGCAAGCCCGGATGTCACAGTGGCCTTGTCAGCTTCATCATCGATGTCCACCGCCTCGGCATCCTCAGCTTACGATTCGCATACGGAGCAGCGCGTACCGCCGCGACCGCATGGTCTGGGTGGGCAGCACCTCCAGTTTCACCAGCACCACGGAGGTCGTCATCCGTACCACTGAGTATATATATCGTCTCGTAGGAGCTTATTCTGTATTATATATAACCGCATTAATAGATGCGGTGCCTTGTTAAATAAAATCTGGCCAAGAGTTCTGCAAGTGCTAGCGCAGGACGTTAAGAAGTAGCCAGCTAATCACCAAACCAATCCTTGAATCCTCTATCTGCTACTATTAAACGGACTGCCTATCCTTCTGTATACTACCTTTTCTTCTACTGATTAGCCCAATTTACTTTTATAGGTTGTTTGTATAATAAGTACATAAGATAAACAATATAGCTTATGTCTGTGGTACAGCTATCGAATCTCAGCAGAAGCTGGAAATCCTATATGCTAGTATAGTATGCAGATCAAGATGACTGCAAGGCTTGATGTTAGGCACGTGCTGCTTTAGTGCTTACTGCATGCAGTGTTGCAGAGTTATGTTAAGTTCTCTTATCCTCGTCAGCGGATCCGCCACTTCCGCCCCCCTACCCCACCCAACACCCACCACCACCATGTCGTTACGGCGCAGGTCTTGCAACGCCTGTTTCAAAGGCCGAAGAAAATGCGATCTGGAATATCCAGTCTGCGAAAATTGCAGGAGAACAAACAAAACCTGCCAATATGCATACCCGCCTAGGCCACCACCAGGGCGCACCGACGGCACCGACGACCCACCAACTGTGCCAGACGAGATACTCGACTCGCCAGCAATGCGTACGAATACCACCGTTCTGGAACTGGATCTTCTGAAGTCACCTGCAATTACTATCTTGAATCCAATCGAGCAAAGCGCAGTGCTCCAGCTTCCACCGAGTTTCACACCAGGTCCATGTACACCGGACTTCACGCCGCCGGAGACTATCTCATTTTCAGCCACATCAAGATTCGTAGGCACCCTCGGCGAGGTCCAACCCATCCAAGGCAGCACTCGCTCATGGCAGTGGGTGATGGATGAGCTCAAAGCCTACCCGCCGGAATTCGCCCGACGGGGAGAGACAATCTTCATCCACCGCGACCTGTACCGCGATGAGATGCCACGGCCGATCCGGACGGCCTTTGGCGTCTGTTCTTCCTTTTGCCTCAGTCCCGATTCGACGAACCGGGAGATGGCATTCCGCGTGATCGACGCTGAAGTCTCCGAGCTACTCCAGCCCGCCACCGAACCGAGTTCGAGCTCTAGTTCCAGGCTACTTCGAATAGAGCTCGCGCGGCTCCAGGCACTACTGCTCTACCAGACCCTCCGACTCTTCCATGGCAACCTGCAGCAGCGGGTCGCAGCCGAGCAACAGGGGTCTATGCTCATGACCACGGCGCTGAAGATCATCGTTCGCGCGCAGTCCGAGCCGGAGCTCCAGAGGCCGAGGTCCCGCCATGCTTGGGTCCTCGGCGAGTGCATCCGACGCACCGCTCTCCTGGTCTACTTTCTCTACGGGGTCAACTCGGTGTATCGAGAAGGGATCTGCGTGGGACTGCATACACTGCGGCAGTTGCCTTTGTCGGTGGAGATATTTGCTTGGGGCGTGGATGGGGAGTGTGCATTTCAGCAGGATAAAGGGCATTCGCACGGTGAGAATGCAGAGACGCTGCCCTACGAAGCGTTCCTGGCGCGATGGCTTGTTTCGCTGCCGCGGCGGCTGGATCGCTTTGAGAAGTTGCTGATTGTTCCGTGTCAGGGGCTGGAGGCTGCTGAGGCATTTGAGGGTCTGGGGCGGCTAGTTGCGTGATTGCTGTGATCTTTTGCCCGAATAGTCCGGCTGTGTCCTAGGGATAAAGATGTATATTTGTCTATCCGCGTTCTTGCGGTTTAGCCATTAACCCTTCTCCTAGTGCCAACCACGAGGTACCTAATTCAAAAGCAATGCACACTGAAGACGAAGTAGTTTCATAATGCTGAGACCACCCGAATTTTCCATTGCGATCATGTCTTCGCCGGACGACAAGCAATTACGTCAATCCTTGACATATGGTACGGCATTTCCTTTCCACATATTGTCTACCTCTCGAATGGATATCCACAGTCTGGTGTAGACTAGGGTTTCTACAGGTTTTATGATGAAGTGATAGCATGGAAGCTGGGAATGGGTGATGGATACAGTAGCTATCTTGATGTTGCCGGTTTATCGGCTTCGCAGAACTGCCGACCATCAGTTATCTATCGAGGCGGATGTTGCGATGCCGCCGCTAAATCTTCTTGGCATGTTGATCAACCTAATTTTTCTGGCGGACGAGCTTGTGGATAAGACTCTTGGCGAGGCTATCGAGGCCAACATCCAGTTGGTCAAGGACCTGTGAGGTTTGCGTAAAAGAAACGGTATCAGTAATATGATAGGCATCATGGGATCAAGCTTGAATTTTCTGTGATTGACACCGCCTCACCTTATCTCTACCTTTCTTGGTCTACCTTTCTTGGCAGTAGAATTGAGAACGCGAAGCATATAAGTTGAGTCTGATGCCCGCGCTACAACTACTCTGCGCGCACAGGGATGCTTTCAACACTGCTGAACACTATCGGTACAATGGCTGCTACCACTCTACTTCTCGCGGCGCTTCCTATTTGCGCCTGTGCGTCGAGTGTCGTCAATGTCTTGGATGTGCCATACTATGTTCCCTCAAAGGTCGAGGTATGTGTTCTACCTGTCCACTATCTCATAGTCTCTCAATGGGATCCATGAATCTAACAATACATACAATTTAGTTGGTGCATGAATTCAAAGTGCGAGAAGCACTTCCGGTGACTGTCTTCACATCCCGCGAGGCAGTAATTACAGCATCATCGATCAATAGCACCGTTTCTGATTTCTTGGTCCGAGACGACGTTTACACCAAGGGGTTCTTCGACGGTAAAAGCTTTGCAATCTTGCCCACAAGCGTTTGCTGATGCCTGCTAGCGTTCTACTTCCAGGGTCCCGAAGGTCTTGCCCTGGATCGCGACGCAGACTCCCTGCTCAAGTCACTCGGAACCAGTCAAGTATTTTGGGCTTTGTCACAACACAACACAACCCTTCCAGACGGCCCCTACTTTGCGACATCTTCGGGCCTGCACCGTGCCTGGCGCCTCTATGAGGATCACACCAATTCGTTTTTCCTGCCTACCATCCCATCTGCCAACGACGCCAACGCCTATGAAGTCCTCCCTGCAAGCGGTAGCGACCTTTATGGGGCAATGCAAATCGCTGTACCATCCAGGCTGTTCTACCAGACTACGTCCGAGCAGCCGCTTGCGGGCTACCGCATCGGCGTCAAAGATCAGTATGACATGAAGGGCCTTATCACGACATTTGGCAGTCGTTCGTACGCCGCGACGTATCCTCCGTCGAATATGACGTCCGGGGTCATCCAGCATCTCCTCGATAAGGGCGCCATTGTTGTCGGCAAAACCAAGCTGTCGGTCTTCGCTAATGCGTGGTTCAGCATCGCTGAGTGGCCTGATTACTCGCTGCCCTTTGTAAGCTTTACTTTATTTGATGGGGTTATTGTTCTTCAGGCTTATGCACGATAGAATCCTCGCGGGGAGTCGTACCTCATCCCCGGCGCCTCTTCTGCGGGCTCGGGGGCGTCTCTCGCCGCATACGACTGGCTGGACATTACCATTGGGGAGGATACAGGCGGTTGTAAGTTGGACTACTTGACTTACTATTTACCATAGCTCACACACAACGTCGCTAGCGATGCGTTTCCCCGCCGCGCAAAACGGCGTGTACGGGATCCGCTCCACCAAGAACAGCACCAACAATACCGCGACCGCGTTCGGACCCTTCGACGTCGCCGGCCATTTTGCTCGCGACGTGGACTCCTTCAACACCTTCGGTGCCGTGATGTACGGCCAGTCGGGCTACAGGAACTACACCAGGTTCCCCACGAAGATTCTCTACCCGCGGGAGTACTGGGCGAACATCAACCCGAACTACACGGCGCCGTGCGAGGAATACGTCCAGAATCTGGAAGCGTTTCTGGGCGTGAACCGTACCATCGTTGACAGCAATGCGCTGTGGTATGAATACTCCGGGAGTAACGTGAGCTTGGTGGATTACTTTGCGAATGTAAGTTGCGAGTCCTCCCCACGGAGTACATCCAATTTTTGCCACGATAAGCACCACCCTAATCGCCCCTTTCATTACCTCCAATGCAGCTAACCCAGAGAAACAACAACCCAAAAAGCTCATTCCCTACGTCTCAGGGACGAATACCTTCGCCTTAGATTTCAAAAAAGACTACTTCGCGAAATTCGGCCGCTACCCCTACACCACCCTCAACGCGGCCAGCGACCCCTCCTTCACCCCGCAAAACGCCACCCTAGGCGAGATCGGCCACGCCCTGCAATCCGAGTTCCAAACTTTCTACCGCAAGTATTTTCTGTCTGCCAACGAGGAAACCTGCTCCGACGCCATCGTGGTCTTCCCCTTCAACGGCAACGGCGGCATCCCCTGGTATCGGGACAGTAACATCAGTTATACCGTGCAGGGCAGCGCCCCGGAGCTCCCGGGGTATATCAGCTGGAACTACCTGTCGGTGATGAACGAGAGCCCCGAGGTGGCGGTGCCGGTGGGGACGGTGAAGTACCACAGCCGGGTGTCGCTGGTGGAGGAGGAGTTCCCGGCCACGATGGAGATCCAGGGGGCGGTCGGGTGTGATTTTATGCTGATGAATCTGGTGCGGGCGGTTGCGTATGAGCGGGGCTTGAAGAAGGGGGTGCGGACTGGATCGAGGATGTACTGAGTGGGCTGGATCGTGTCTG